GAATCTTTGAAGTAAATGGTTTGTGGGCAAAACTATGGTTCGCTTTCAATTTGCAGTTATAAGGCGGGATAAATCAACACACAATTAACTGCAAACATTTGCCTGATTTTTTTCTGGAATGCAGACTTAAAGAATAATTTCTGGGGTTCTTTTGGTTTAAAAAGCCGAAGAGATGGGGGAAAATGGTAAAAACTTTCCTAAAACTTTTTGGAAAGGGTCCTTCCCCTTTGCTATTTAAATTTAGGGGTTAAGGGGGCTTTGTTTTTTCATTTAAAAGGGAACTCGTGGGGATGGGGGAAATTTTTTAAAAAGGATAAAAGTATAAAAAAACTTACAATAAAAGTGTAAATTTTTAGAAATAAAAATACCATGTTTTTTTTTTGCTCCCCTGGATATGCTGAAAAGGAATACAAATTTTTTTTTAAACCCCCCCAAAAGTTAGAAAAAAAAAATATTTGTTTAATTTATTTTAAATTTGTGTTAAAAAACTATGAAACAAATTCTTACTATTCAGTCAATTTGAACGGGGGGGAATTGAGATTTTGGGACTATTTTCAGCTCTATTATCTCAATATCTAAAGTGAAAAAAATATAACTGATTTTCGTTAAAAATATTTTCACAGACTTTTTGAAAGTCATTGAAAGCCACCATTTCACCAGTCCTGTGAAGAATCCTCATTTGGAGCCTCCGTTTCGCTTTTATTCCTGTCGTTGCCATTGTCTTCCGGAACTGGTGCAACCGGTGTTATAATAACACGTCTCTCGGTTAGATCACCCCATTGACCTTCACCACCGTCTTCGTCCTAATTGGAAAAAAGGGTTGACAGTTTGACACAGCTCATAGAATTATTAGAGTTTGTGAAGAGTTTTGAATAAAAGAGAGCCGTTTAGTTACTTACATGTAGGTTGGCTAGTAATATGCTTAAGGTTGATATAAATTGAGCACTCTGTTCTCATTGAAACTAATCTAGAGCTATGTGCGTACCATATTCCCTAACAAAAGACACTTAAACATAATTGACACAATGCATCTCTGATTTTGTATATACACTTTTTCAAAATATAAAGGTTTTAAAATATCTTAGTATATAGTTTCAAAATATCTATCTATTCCAGTTCAAAACATCATTCCTATATTTCTTTAAGATCTTTCAAATATCTTAAATATAACAGGAAGGCACAGATTTGAAATAAATAAGCCGAAGAATGATTTCGGATAACATCTCAATTGTATGAATACAAATGATAACTTGTTTGAAACAGTACGTAATTATACCGACTGTCATTTAGCATAGTACTTACCTCCTGGCCAGTAGAAGACATAAATGTTGCATACTTAGGCGATTCACTGTCCTGAAACAAAATAAAAACAACATGATGATGTCATCATGGTCATTACCCAATTCCTCTTGAGTCATATACTAAAGTAACTATTATTTAAATTCTTTCACAAAAAATGTTGTATTCTTTAGAAATTATATACGAATTTTTAGATTCTTAAATTGAATTGTATTTAGAGGCAAAAAAGGGTTTTCTTTTATTGAGATCAAAATTTGATTGATTAAGTCTTATCTTTTTAAATCCTATCAATACTTTTGTGCAGTTTCCGAACAGTAACATTATCTACAGAAGGTTTCCGTATACACACCGGTCTACCAGCGCTACTCGCTGAAGAGTGAATTGTAGCTCGTCCGGATTCGGGACGGCTCCCTTTTCCTCTCTCAAACACCGGAAGACCCGAAAAGTTCTTATAGTCACGATCTCGCTTTTCGGACCGATGCTTGATCATTTCTTGCACTTCGTTCACTTCCGGTACGTCGTTGTCTTTAGCAAGGAGTTCCCATGGTAACGCGTTGTCAGGATCATTTTCAAGGTCCTTCTTGTTAATCATGACCCGGAGTTTCTCAACATGGCGTCTTGGCTTCTTTGGCTTAGGTTTCTTTCTACACCACTCGCATAACCTATGACATAATTTGCTTATTTACATATCTTCAGCTTGTACTAGTTTTATTTTATTTATTTATTCATTTCTATAATACAAATCGCATAACAGTGCACTTAAATAACCATTAACGGGTTACTTCCCAATCTTAATACAGAAAATTAGTAGAGAACTGACAATAACTATTTAAACTGTGACAAAGCGATATTTTGTTGACGTTTGCAGCATGCAATTACATGGATTTGATACCACATGATGTTTTGCAAATGTGTTCAACAACTAAACATTGTCTGAAGACATGTTATGCTCAAATTTGATATCTGAAAATACTGACAATTGTAATATGTAAAATGTAAAATAAAATGTAAAATAACATCATTTGATTACATACAGAGAATATTGTAAACTCATTACACACTAAACCTATCTAAACGTAGCATAAATACATAATGTCATTACAAATGTCTTTTTTAAGAAAGGATCAAAGTTTTTGAAACATTATAGAAATTGCACCTCCAAACATATAGTTTTTGCATCGTCCTATTCAAATACTCATTAACGATGTCTTATGTTTCAACACTTTCCTGCACCAAACGTAATTAAGTAATCTTGAATGAGAGAAAGGGATGTAAGGACAAATCTTACAACAAATTCTCAACGTTACCGTTACTTTAGAGTCTGGCGCTTTTAAATAATACCATTGAAGCTAATCATTTTTATACCACTACAAAGTATCAAGGATGTAACATACTTGTATATCTTAAAGTTCATATATTCATTGACGACTGGATCTTTCCACACAATGATCAATATAACGACAATACAAGCAAATATTCCACATCCTAACAAAAACAACCATATGTAATTTTGGTAGTCATCTTCAAACTTCAGCGTTCTTTCGGTAGTCGATGTTGTAGTGGTGATCACCTTCAAGTAATACAATAATCACAAGCTTCGATTTAAAGATATAAAATTATACAAATATACCCCTCATGACAAAACCCAACATAGTGCTTTTGCGCCCAGCAGGGATCCAGCCCACCCTGCGCTCCGCGCAGTCTATCAGGTCCATCTGTCGCTATAGTTTTCTATTTTAAAAGGATGGAAAGCGAAGCGTGGATCCTGATCAGATTGGTCAAACATGAATTTTATAGCGCTTTTGTGATGTAAACAAAGTGTAGTATTTTGTCTTCAGTTTTAAAAAAATTAATCAAATCTTCAATTTAAACCAATCATTGTTTAATAAAACGTTAAGAGTATTTACTGACAGACATATAGAGGACAATATAATATATGTAGAAATACATTTTTTCTATAAATACCACCATTGTTTCATAGAACCAACCGTGAAGCTTTTTTTCCACATCTTGTTTATTTTATTAACAAAACTAGCATAGTTATAACACTTTTTCTAACGGACATAAAAGCATTTGGATAACATGAAGCATGTGTGGTCTGTGATAAAAGAATAAATTTAATAATATAAGAATGTTTCATATAAGAAACATGTAGGTACTAATAACAATCTTTCAACAGTCAATTTAATGGATTCACCAGTAATGTTTTTATTTCGATGTATTATTACGACCACAGCAGGACTCGAACTCAACAAGGTCTTGGTAACGTGTCAATGATGCCCTAGCTGTCTTCTATCAAAAGAGAAGTTTTAACATTTAAATAATATATTAAATAAAGTAAACGAAAAGCAAATGTTTGCCATACCGGACTGAATATAATTGTAACTGTACACGTCCCTTGCAACCCTCCACTGTCGGCAGCTATTATTTCAAAAACGTACGTATTGCCTGTGTAAGAAGTAACATCTCGCACAAATAACACACCTGCTGCATTCATCTGAAATATGACATCATTATACCACTTTTTTATATTATTTTTATCTTCACGTTAAAACACAATACGATATGTACAATATTTCAACATGCTATATGGCAATATGGCCATGTTTTACTGCTGTTTCTTTTTCAGATTTATGATCGTTATTTGACCCTATAAACGTTCATATCAACTGTCAAAAATCTTTATGACGAACTTATGATACAACAAACTTTCTTCATTTAAGACAGAATGAAATATTTTCATAAATTTTGCAATAGCTGAAAAAAGTATTCTTCTTGTTCAACTAGAAAAAAAAGCAACAGATAGAATTATTTCTTGTGGCCACTTTTAATGTAATTGCCCGTCAATCTACCCATTGTGATTGATAATTTTGTTTTAATTGTTTTAATAATTAACATACCTGAAAATAGTCGCCCGTAGGGGCTTGCAGGACTGAAACTGTATGTTAGAACCCCGTTTGTGGATCCGAACGCGTCGCTATCCAAGTCAGTTGCTGCCATGTCGGGCAATTTTCCGTGAAAAAAGGCGTTGTTGTAGATACGAAGAAAACGTATATATGGTGTGGAAACTTCGGAACATGGGTCATTGACATTGTTAATTGTCAATGTAATGAGCCCTTGACAAAAAAGATTAAGAAATGGTCACTTGAAATATTGATTTGACACATGCAGGGTTATTCTCGTTTGCTCATTTAATACATAAACACATTATTCTTCTTTATCTTTACATAAACATATTATTTATGTTAACTCTTCATGAATCTATGTATACACTTTTAAAAAGTTAGAAATCTTAAGAAAATCAAAGTTGTGTTTAATATACAAAAACATCATATACCTAAATGGCTGGCAAATTAAAACTATCATAGGTATACATCCATATAGAAATCCTATGAACTTAGTTTTGAAATTAGTCATCAATAACATGGAATTGTGTGAGTATTTAAATAATATTACACCCAAACACTGTACTTTGTAGAATCACATCTACGAGCCTACTTCCTGTAGTCGCAGAGGATGATACAAATTGATACAAACTGAATTTTACAAACTTGCAATACATGATACAGTAATTGGATTGTTATAGCAATAGCTCATGTATTTTGAATAAAATATGCTTTCAGTAAATAAAACAGTGATTTCGTTTCTACAAAGGGGCAAGGATAAGGTATGTAATACGTGACGTCATTACCCGAGTCCGACATTCCCGCCTCATCACGCACAGTTACATTACAAGTCGCAGTACCGGACAATCCAGAGTCCATATCATATTCTCTAGCAAACTTCACCTAAAACAATTATAAGCATTTTCAAACTGATGTATTTAACATTATTTTTTACACAATGTTTTCTTGTACGAAGTTCACGTTCTGTGTTAATGTAAAAGTAAGCCAGTCGCTAAAGTGTGCTCGTAATCATTCGATGTCCCATTTCAAAGTAAATTAGGTTTACATATTTGATACTACCTCGCCCATTTGATACTCTCTCGCCCATTAATTTTCTTTAAAGTCAATTTGTCAAAATTTGTCTGCAATATAGTTAACTAGTTGGCTTGGTTATAATTCATAAAGGAGATTATTTTCCAAATTCAATTTAACTAAATAGCTAGAAATATAGAAATATTGACTGAAATACTTGTAATTAATTATCATTATATTTTCTAGTGTCACTAAATAAGTAACGTATTTTAATTCATATAATAAAATGTATGATTGTTATGTGTTGTGTTTCTTTATCTGTGCATTTGCTCAAGTATAAGATGTTAAAATCTTGAGAATAAAGGGATTGTGAATAACTGGTTCTATATATGTATGTGGTTACTTTCTTCGGTTGTTTAAAACAAATGGATAAATGATTTATTTCTAATTAGGCGAAAGAAAAAGTGTATAAAACAAATTTAATTCATAACAATTCAGACGCATTCTGTTCTTCATTATATGCTTTATCATATTCCATCATAATCTTAAATATGGCGGGGCTTTCATAATTTCATAGATCTAAAAACTCTGATGAAAGCAAAAGTAAAAAGAAACAGTTTGCAGGCAAGCATTAATCATTATTTATAAACAAAAAAACTTGTCTATTCAGTTGTTCACCTTCAAATTCAATTGTTTTACTGAGTGTATAATTTCAAAACATCAAGAAAAACATACATCGTATTCTCGTATGACAATGTTCTAATTATAATTATAAAATGTCAATTCAAAGAAAAACCACCATGTAGCCAATACAACTGTGCACACTTTAAAACCTAATTTGCATTTACATTTATACGTGATTACCAAATGAACTTAGAATAAATATAGCTTATTAGATATTGAAATATTATACAGTTACCTCATTTGTTGCCGTGTCCAGGTAAAAGTATTTAGAATCATCCCCACAATCCATTGTAAAATACATGTTATCACCAGCATCTTCATCAGTGGCGGATATTACAGGGTTCGGAGTGAACGCCGTACCTCTTGTATTTGTCTATAATAAACTCAAAATGTCTAACCTGGGTTTGAGTTATAAAACATTTTTTTTTTTCAGATTTCTGACTCAAATCTCAGGACTTTCATTGGTCAGTGAACATTCTGTGACAATTTCTGACCAATAAAAAAAATCTGAGATCTGATTTTGAACTGAAAAAAAATCAATATAACCTTAGACCCTAGTCTTGAGTGTTATAAAACCTATTTTGAGTTAAATCTCAAATCTCATGCTTTTCTTTGGTCAGTGTTGTTCTGTCGCAATTTCTGACCAATTTAAATCTGAGATGTGAGTTTGAACTGTTGAAATTTCTATATAACCTTAGACCCGGGCCTTGAGGTTTTAAATCCGTTTTTCAGAGCCAAATTTAAGTATTTTCATTGGTCAGTTAGAACTGTTTGACAGTTCCTCTGACTGCTCAAGTACTTGAGATATGAGATTCGGCTAAGAGAATATTTTATAACCTCAGACCCTGGTGTATGTCTATGCCAAGATACAAGATGCATAACTTCTACCTAAGGTGTACGTGTCTATGACTAAGATGGGACATTAACTAGACTAGCCTATGTCATACATATGATAAAAGTTTACAAAATAAAATACATTACAATATCGCATTTTATAAAAGAAACGATTTAAAGATATACATGTGTAATATGCTCATCCCGAGATAAAACACTTCTGCAGATATTTATTGAAATTTAGAAAAATCTTACTAAATATATCTAATTTGAAACAGAGAGTGCACAAACTATGTTTTGGAAGCTTATTTTCTATTACTGCTCAAATCGAGTTGATCCTTTATTTAAAAAATGAGAGTTTGTTGGGTTATGTTGGGGGATGCGTTCATTGAATGCCGCCCTTTTCTGTTGATCTTGTTTTTCACATCTTCAATGACACTATGAATTCTCACGGTGTCTACCTATGGCGTGTAGAGTTTAAAATTCAAAGATGTTGATTTTACAAACAAATAAACAAACTAAATATAATAGCATTTATCAAATTATTTTAAGCTATCAATGTTGAGCATGACATATACATCTATATCTATCTAAGAACATAATTACCTCGTCGGCACTTAGGGCTGTGTGTGTAATGTTAAGGGTAATGCCTTCATTAACATTTACGATCACAAAAGTGATTGTCCCAGTAATTGTTTCATGCTGTGTAAGTGCCCCATCATTAATACTAATACTCATTGTCCCGCCTGTAAAAGGCTTCTCAAAATCCGGTTCCTTTTTTACTGATATAATTCCAGCTATAAAAAGGGAAACATTTGGAATTACTTTGACAGATTCAATTTGTTTTACATTCAGAAGTGGATAATTTTAATCAGTTTAACTTTACGTCGAGATTATTCTTAACGTCGATTTTATTAAGACTCCTATTACAACTCTTCTATCATTCTTGGTAGAGGAAGGCCGCATAAATTCGAATCTGAAAATCACTTAAAACCCGTACAAAAAGTTCTACGAGGGGGCATAGCATGTGAAAAGTATTAACCCATGTGACAATGTAGTTGTAGGCGGTATATTTCTGGGTTTATGGGTATCACAACATTTTTCCATTTACCTATGGAGCAAGATTAGGGTTGTTTGGGCAATGTGGTAAAGTAAAAATACAAAACAACGGCAGATCAATGGACAGGTTCGTTGACTAGGAGGAGCTTGATTCCACGCACGCTGGAATTCTTACCTTTCTCTACTTATACACGCAAAACACTTGCCAGATATACACCGAATAACGGTTAAATAAGTAATATTGATGGTTATTTTACAAATGCCCCTCGTATTAAAATAATATTCAATTACACACTTTGTTTCTTTTGTAAAAAATAAACAACATGCTCTCAATTTTGATCATATACGCATTTTATGTTCTTATGACTTGGTTTTTAAGATATAAGCATTTTGTTTCATTTGATAGGTATATTTTGATTCGGTATCATTTTATTGTATCCTTTATTTTCTGAGTAAATGAGTTGATATTTACTTGTGGGATCAAAGTGAAAGTGTGTATCAATATCAACTGAACTATGAGAAACTTTTGCCATTGTAAATGTATCCGTCGGATTTTCGTCTGTGTAGATCACTGAAATGTAAATTCAAATCATGGCAAATTGTAACATTTAAAAATAGAAACAAATAGTATGAAGTAAAGAAATGCAAACATTGCTAAGCAAGTATAGATCAGAGCAGTATTTGTAGGATCTTTAAACCCTCCAATTAAGTAAGAATATTTAGAACATTTAACTATAAAATTTTTTTGATAAGATTACTAATGATATGTATAGACTTTTGTTCAAACAGTTTAGAAAAAAAATCAATTAGGCAGATACAGCAGATACGAAAGGAGTAAATAGTGTAACTTGTGTGAAATGTGTATCTGTAATTTAAAGGTAACAGAAATTGAAAACTATCAAAAAATACATGCACCTTGTTAAATATTAGGCATAGTTTCGATAACATTATAACATTGATAATGATTCAATTAACAGATTTTATAGAAATTGTTTAGATACCGCGACATTTAGATGAAAAAAGAATTTCAATACGATTTTTTGATTAGACATTACAATCTTTGTATCGGTCTTAATTGGTTTGGATTATTAATATTTACATATTACAGGATTGACCTTTAGGCAAAGTATGATGTTTGTTTCTTAATTTTCCAACAATTTTGAAAATTTGACCTATAAATGTTGAAGTAAGTTCACTATAAATGTCAAATTACAGTACATCAAAATAAAGAGCTGGATATCCGGTAGTATGCTATGATGTCCTGAGTAGAAAAACATTAGATATAATTATAAATACCTCTTCCATGAAATGAAAGGAAAAATGCGTATGACAAATGTATAACAAATTAAATGTTGATGCTGCACATCAGAGACGCCGCCAAATTATGTGAACAGTCAGTAAAAATTGAAAATCGTTTTCTATTACACTTGAATATCCGTAGCACAAATCATTTTTTTCTCCATGTTCTTGGTATGTGCTCGTTGTTTAATAATAAAGTTGCATATTTTTGTGAAAAAGTAGAACCTAATGCACTAATTCACAACGTAATGCCACGTCTGAAATTCTTAAATGTTTGTCTGTTGCGACAAAGATTGAAACGTCCGGCCGAAGCAAAATAAATTGGATAACAAGTAAAATTGAAATGATTGGTATACTTAAAATAAATTCAAGACACTATGTGCCAAGAATATGTCCATTTAAATATTGGCACGAATTGCATAATGTTCGAATGATTTTGAGGACGAACTGTCCTGCAGTGTTCTCCCCTTACAGGCCGTAGCGTAACCGGTATACTTTCTTAACGGTTGAGGGAGAACCGCCTCTCTGATAGTGGACGTAGTTTAGGCTTTGTAACTTGTTATTTAATGATTCGACAAGTGATATTGATCAAAGTTGTCCTGGTTTCATTCCCTCCAAATGCAAGCATAGTTACGGAGCATCATATTAAATTTGGCAACAATTTAAGGCGGAGCCGAACTTCAACAGAGGCGGAGCAAATGAAGTAAGTGACACTGCCTCAATCGTTACGTCTCTCAACGGTTAAGTTTTAGAACGATCGTCTGCAGACTGGCTCATTGGCACGTTATTTATTAAGTAGATAAAAAAATTAGATAATTATAAAAAGAATGTGATATTCAAACATGACACTATCACTTCAGGTAAACGTTTATTTTAATGTCTTAAAGCTCTGTGACATGTTGTACGTCAGAAAAGCTATTTTTATTAGAAAATTTGTAAACAATCTGATTTTGTTAAAACAAAAAAAATGAACAAAATCAAGTCTAAACTTTTCCCCATTGCTTTACGGACAAATGCATATCTACTAGTACGCGCCGTTTAATAAATACCTTTTCAATAAAATGAAGGGAAAAAATTCGCGTTTGACAAATGTATTATAAGATAACTTTTGTTTAACAAAAACATTTTACTGGGTACCATAGAAATAAAACATGATTTGCTAATGTCGAACACTTTTGTTTTTAACCTAGCAGACTTAAAAAAACATAAAAGCACAGGATGAAAACAGAATCATAGTAAAAATTATATATTCCCTTTAATGCCAAATGAGTTGAGTTAATGTCAATTTACGTATATTACACTACAGAAGTCAAACCTTTAAACAGAAATGTTCCAGCAGGTGTTTTTTCCATCACGTATTTTGTTGCTGGCAGATTTCTCCATATTGGTGCTTCATTAAACGTATAAGGACGACCTGGAACAAAATTTCAAATTTTATTTTATGATTTATTTTTCAAAAAGAGAATTACTCAGTGTTATTACTTTTTGTTTTAATGGTATGAAGACTTTACAAATAATATAAATAAAGACCATGATTAAATAACCAAGTCTCTGTTTTATTTTATTTTTATTTCTTATTTATTTATTATATGGGGGTGGGTGGGGAAATCAACAATGTTTCAAATGTCACTGTGCATGTATTATTCATCCTTAAACCAGATATTTCGTTTACAAATACCAATAGGTACGCATAAGTTCCAGATATTAATGTAAATACCAGATATTCACTTTGTGTTCAATAACAGTTACTGTAAGATGATAGTAATTTTAAAATATTTTTCTTCTTTTTTCTCTTAACAAACTTTTTTTCTTGTTTTTTTTTTTGTACGTGTTCAGGTTTACTCATTTTCATGGTAGATAAATTCAAATAAGTAACATAATAAGTGTTGTACCAGAAGTAACAACAGATAAAGAATGTGTCTCTGCATTTCCATGATTGTCACTTATTGTGATATCCAGATTGTAGCCTTCCTCGTGTAGTACATCATTTGTTGTTATCTCACCTAAGTATATCATATTAATCAAAATATATTAAGTTGTTATATATTGATAAAAAGGCAATGCATTATTTAAAGAAGGAAAATAATAGAACAGAACAAACATTTTATTTGTTTTACTTAATATACAAATCGTGCAATATTACAAAGCAAATATATACAACTTTATGATTATAGTTTATTGAATACATGTTGACCTACACACACTTTTATTGAACAGAAAAAAAAAGGTATTCAATGAATTAATTTTATTAATGCGACTTATCGCTTTTCATTTATTAGTTACACAGTTTGTCAACAGTATTTTAAAGGACTGTTTTGGCATTAATGTCACATCTGACCGAGGATGATAGTTTTGAAGTTATTATACATTGTTGAATACAAGCCTTAGAGTGAATTCTAATGAATAAGTACACAGCTTTACAGACTATGTTGGTCTATGTGCCAACCATTAAACATTTTGACAGAACTTTGTAACTGCGAGTACAATATGGAATGCACTCATTTTTTTGGACTCAGAATACAAAAAACGAGACAGGAAAGAGTATGAAATAGATGAGATATGGATATTTAGGACTTGGAAAATGAAAATTAGTGTAGATGGAATACAATATTGATTTGATCTGAATTGTTTTGACTCAGAAAACGAAAACGAGGATTAACTGATAAGACTAGATTCGGTAATGATTTTCATGAGATCAACCAATACGGAACAGAAAAGTATAAGCGTGAGGACTGTTTGGTAATGTCAGTCGGTCGAGTAGTGCTCTGACTACTTGACATTAAGGACTATTAACGTCTACATTCGCATAAGGCCTTATATAGTTAAAGATCCTGTATGTGGTTTACCACACAAAATTAAGATATGTATATATATGTACATAATTATGCAAATAAAACAATTTTCAAACATCGAAGAATAATTATGTAAAAAATGTACTGCAAATAGATGTGCATATTATATGTTATCATTAAAATATATACTTTGATTTTTTATTGTAAAATTTGACTTAAGCTTTATAGAAAATAAATTTCTAATTACCTCCCTTTATTAATATGAAATGTTAAATTCAATCATATCTTTATAAATAATGCTTTTCGGAACTCTACAATATCGATAAATCTTAATTTGAGCATCATATTTATGATTTAAAACCATAAAAGATGTGTTACAGAATCTTTAATTAATAACATCTTTTTTTCTATGATTTTATTGACATTCCTTAAAAATTAATTTCTTCAGAGCCTTGTAAAAATATGTTTTTACCTGTTCCGCTTATTGTAAAGGGACATTGGCTATTGCCATCGCAATTGCGAGAAAAAGACACGGTGTCTGACTCAGCATCAGAATATGCAAGCTGATAGATTGTAGTAGTATAAGACCTGTCCACAGAAATCGATTCTTAAATAAAAAACAATACCTTCTAATTGAGCAAAACTATCACATATTCTCTTACATGTAATAAATATAAAGATCCATAAAAGTATTGTTTATGAAACATAGTACATAATGGAATGATCTAAACCTTACCGAAATTTCAAAATGAACAGCTCCTAATTTAACAGTTGTTTGTTTGGGTGATAACAAAATGTATCATAAGTTCGAGTCCTACTCGGGTCACGACCATGTTTCTTTATTTGACACTAAAACTGGTTGGTTCAAGGAAGCGGACTCGAAAGTGATTAATATAAGTTGCAAGAACTTGTTTCGCAATCGAGCTAAAATAAATATGTTCAAACCATGCCAACAAAATGCATTATAATTAGCAAACAGTATAAAGTACATGGTCTTACTACAAGTATGTGCAGGCTGCCTTGGTTTTTTACGGGTGGAAAAGGTTAATCGTGTTTGATCCCAGCAAGGTAAGAGTTTATTTCTCTAAAAATATATACATTTCTATAATTATACCTGGAACGTAACCGCTTGATCCTGCAGTGAAAGTAGGAGCTTCGTTTTTGACAACGTCAACTTGAAAGTTTGAGTACACAGTCGTGACACCGTCTGTACAGGATATCCGCAAATCGTAATATTTCTTTGTCGAATAGGTATATCCTGGTGACGCTGATTGTACAATGTTATACTCAACTGTAAAATATAAATATAAGATATTTCAGGGTTTTTTTCTATTAATACGGGATTCACAAGTCAAGCGAGCCACAAGTAAAATATGATAAGTTTCATACCATACGATGAAAATTTATTTTAACTTGACTTTTTGTTTGTTTATTATACACTTTTTCCTTTCTTTGACATTGCGACCCGAATTGTGGTTAGTATATTGACTTAGTTTAGAAGAAAGTTGTCCGGCAAAATACCAGTAAAAATATGTTGTTTTTTTTTCTTCTCACACTGCAAAGATACATAATTATATGCATTTTATTTCCTCAATATTTCTCAATTTTTCAGTATGTAAGTGTATTATAAATAATTATATCCATATATTAACCAGACATATTCAGATTATTACGACAGGGCTTATAAGTATTAATACCTGTCAAAAAGAAAAAAATAAAATAAGCTAAATGAAACTGTTGAAAACAATATTCTACAAAAATGTCTATTACTGTAATCATCTAAATGATGTAAACTTACCATAAACATTAGGATCTCCTTGAGAAATACTGAATGGCCCTCCATCTGGGTTTGTATCATATAACGAACATGTTAAACTATCGCCAGATGGGCCAGATGGGTCTGTTACGGTAAATGTATAGAGAGTCCTGGACGCTGTTTCTGAATCTACAACAGTTGTAGAAGCTGGTAGTTTGGTAAATCTCGGTCCCTGTTAACACAAGTTATGATAACATTATCAACATCCGCTTTTTAAATTTGTTAATTAAAATGCTCAAACTGTTATGTCGTCTAAGAAAAACCACATTGAATATATAACTTGGCCATTTGCTTAAATATCCACATCTAATTCAAAGAAAATATACATTGACAAGAATAAATTCTTTCATAATTATAATGCATTATTATTTGAAAAAGTATTTAATTTATTTTTAATAGTACATCCCCTCAAAAATGAATATTGACACTCCCTGGACTTACACTTTTCTTTAATATTATAATATCTATAACTACAATGTAAAGGAAAACCACTATACAATTTTGAAAAAGATTTGAAATTTGTGAAGAATATTTTCCATACCCTAGATCCTTTAGAGTAACTAGATCTACGTCAATTAGAAATCTTCTCACACCATGCGTTTTTTTAAACAATGTTTTACTGTGCGTAAAATATAGTTCATGCGCTTTCCTTTATTTGGATCCATGTTTCTTTCTTATCATTATATACAATGTAAAGCCAAGGTAACAGATGATATGATAACATATGATGAATTGAAGTCTATGGGGACATGCTGTAACCACATGATTTAAAAGTATTTCATTAATTATTGTGTGTACATGTATTGTATTCCATTGTTGTGAAATATATAAATATGTTTAAACAACATAACTTTTTATGACTCTGAACTTCAGGGTGGACTATATTATCGCTTATTAAAACGTAAACTGTATCAAATTATATCTGCATTTCGAAACGATGTGTAATATTACTGAAAGCGTACCTCGTTCACAAGATTGATTGTTACTGTACCAGTCACCTCGCCATTACAACCGTCGCTCACAGCCAGCTCTACTAAGTAAGTACTTTCGCTCAATGCTGAAGCGTATGTTAACGTAACTGCCAAATAAAAAAAAGCTGTACATGTAAAATGACACCAAGCATAAAGAGAAAGGTTAAACAAGTCCGATAGAAATTTGTCCGATGGCATTTATGGTCCACACTATGGTCTGGTTACTTTTTCTGTTTCTGCTTTCCATACATCTTTGGATTCTATTTTCGGCAACTGAATGGTTTTATAACAAAACCTGCATTTTTCTACGGACATTTTGTTAATAAGATATGTGACTTTGGCCAGAAAAGTTGTTTTGACGATTCCTAATTCAAGTTTCAATATGGGTCATCTTGGGTCACACAACCCAAACATTACAGCCACTACATACAATAACGATCTATACATGAAAAGCGTTTTGTAAAGGGTGTACGAATTTTTGGCTTGAATTATGGGTATTTTATCTAATAATTATGAAATGAAAACAAAGAGAAAAATCTTAGGTAATTATGTGAATGTGTTTCTAGCTTTTTCAGCCAAATCTAAATTGTACCAATGTTAAACAGTTTTGTAAGGATCGTACTAACTGTGTTAAAGCTGCACTTCTCCAGTTATAGATCAGTCCATCAATTTAACAAAAGTATCTTAGAATCTAATCGAGATTTCATCATTCTTTGGACAAATGTGTTATTATTGAATGTATTTCTTTTTATAAATTGTGTTTCTATTTGGGGGAACATTACCAAGGTGATATTTGACCGTGAACAAATGACCATTCATGGGTGCACATATCCGAATACCGTACAACTCCATTCATGGGTGCACATATCTGAATACCGTACAACTCGCAGTTCGAGAATATTCGCAAGGTTTTGCCATCTGTCAAAAATGGTCAACTGGTGTAATAGGTATTGGTAACGAAATTATGACTGGTGCCTAAAGAATCTAATCAACCATTATTATAGCACAACCATCTTTTTTTTATTTGCTGTTTCGGCAAATAATTAAGTTATAGTGATGTAATGTTATGCATGGATGTCAAATTACAATTTGTTTTAGCATTACATACCTTATGACAAATTGTTTCATAATCAGCACTATTTTCTACATCTTAAATGTTTTGCATCTATTATTACATAATTATAAAGCATATATGTTTGCTTTTTCTACCGAAAATAAATTTTATGTATTTAAGCTTAACGAAACACATATAAACAAAAAAAACTTACGTAGTTTATCATCGAAGTCAAAATTACCGGTGTCTGACTTCTTAGAATATGTGAGTGTATCTGTACCATCAAGATCTAAAACTGACGCCGTGTAGATGACAGTCCCCGTAGCATGCGTATAAACAGTCGTCTCAAAGGGGGCGTTGACAAACATTGGAGGATGGGCTTAAAATGTACATTAATTTTAAATGCATATATAAAGACATTAATCTTTATTTCAAAATTAAAATTTCGAAACGAGAATGCAGTTTTGTTTGTTTAAAGAAAGAATTTTGAATAATAATCAAACAAATCAGCAAACATTTCTTACAAAGTATGCTTAAAATGGGTATAATGTTTATTAGTCATGTGTCTCAAACAGTTTCTTTCTGTATGTCAAATTTTGTTAGTATTGATAGGTAACAAGGATTTACCTTGTAATTGAAAAAAAAAACATTTTACGTCAGTTACATATAATGAAAACGCCTGTGCATGGTAGCATTGCTTTTAATAGAACGTGCTAGAGTCTTTCTATAAAATCAAAAACAGACAAAAAGGTCATATTATGCCTTTGTACAACTTCTATATACCTGGTTTGATATAAGCGGCTACAGCATATCTACGATCTGTTGTCGGTGACCCTGACCCTGATCCTGCGACATCGTCTCCAACGCTTTTTAAGGTTTGTCCAGTTTTACGATAAACACCTGAGTAACCACCAATAGTTTGATAGGTGATCATAGGGTTGCCTGCTGTGTAACTGATAAGATAATAACGCAAACGTTTTAGAAAAAAGCAACGTTTTTATGTCACACATTTACGTATATAGAGGATATTGAATTAGAGTAAGTTCAATACTGAATTTATTGCACGAGTTGAATAAAATTATATTATGCGAGCCTCTGGCGGTAAAAAAAAATCGGTGACAATGGATGTTTGTACTTCAAATTGTCACAAGCTTGATATATATAGAGGAATTTCGTTGCATACACAAACACAATCATCAGTAAGGCTTTTAACTCAGTTTGTCTTTTTTTAATTGTTATAGGCGCTCATACTAGCCCAGTCGAAGGGAATACGCTGTTGTTGTTGTAAGAAATTTTCGAGGCTGCCAACGATCACAAAACCACTCTGATGGTGACGAACATTACGACAGAAGATCAAGATCAAACTTCAATTAATTTCTTTATTCATTTTATATTTAGACTTTAAACTGTCATTGGTATTTTTTCACATTACGAAAAAGATATTAATACGGAAGCGCATCGAAAAAGCTTTTAATTGACACAAAGTTACGGAACAAATCAGGCGCAATTAAGCTTATTATAATGTACGGCAGCATGTTTTTGTTGATGTCGTGTTAGAATCGAAATAATACATATATATACATGTATATCATAATCGGTGATTTTAACAAAGTTACAGGACAAGATTCACCACGAATAATTACGGTATAGATATCTTATTGACAGAGTCCTTCCACAATAATTTGGACCCAATTAAATATATCTTTAGACGAAGATGTTGGTGTAAAATCATTTCCTCCCAACTTAAAAAAATTGCTTCAGAAAAGAAACAACAAGAACAAAGGTCTGAATCCGTTCGATCTGTTTTAAGCCGTCCTTAGCAAGACATTTCATATTTCAATATTTTTTTGCCAGTTACCCTGTCGGCTATATATTGACAACGCCATATTTGTTCTCGAAGTCTTGAAATTTACCTGCCCGGTATTGGTTTTCTAAGAAGCCGCATCGCTTTCAAAACTATATAAAAGTTCGCCGGTGATTGGCTTTATGAAAGATCACGATAATGTGACAACCTATATAGCTGGTAGTCAGATTCTAATGCATAGCGTTATTTAAAAGCTGATTTTACTCAGATTGTGTTTTTGTCTGGCGTCCCGCGGAGCGAAAATCGGCTACCATATAAATGTAAAATTGTGAAAAAAACGCGATATAACATCACGTTTTCACCATCGTACCATCGCGATTTCATCATCATACCATCATGTTTTCATCATCGTGTCATCGTACCATCGCATTTTAACCATCGTACCATCGTGCATCGCGGGTAGTGAAGAAATAAAAAACCACGATTGTCCAAACGGAACACCGTAGAATACTACACACATTGTGTTAAAAATGTAACAAAATTCGAGAAATTTTACAGAACCAAATTTCAACAGTGGTACCACCGTACCACGTCATGGTGTGATGTCGTCATGAAGAAGAACGTATAACGTTACGCGGCGAAACAAGTAGAAATGACTTAAAATCAATAGAAATGCGTGAAATAAATAGAAAGACTCTTTGTTTTGCATGTAAGATTAAAATATATTTCATTCGTGAACACAAGCTAAGATATTTTCACTCGTGGCTAAGTCACTCGTGAAAATATTGCATCTGGTGTACACTCAGAGTAATATATTTCGATCTTACATGCAAAACATACAAATATCCTCTATGTATTAATCAATAAAGCCTTTCAATAATGGATATAAAGTCAAAATATCACTTTGGACATTTGCCTCCAAATCTATGCATACAAAAATTAAATAAACCAAAAATTCCGCCTTTTCTTGCAGGAAAAAAAAACGTTTTGCTTAACAGATGCCTATTTCAGTAGCATCATACAAGTATAGTCCTTTACAATAATTTAAGAAAAGTAAAAATATCCCTTTATTAAAAGTCATTTTAAATGGTTTAAAGCTATATTTAAGGTAAATATTTTTTATGATAATGTACAATTTATCAGTATTAAAATTCTATTTTTCCATTATCTTGAAAACCTATCCATATTCTCAAAAGAGTTTGTAACGTGAAATGTTTCTATTATTTAACATACATTTCTTTAATGTACGTTAGGAACAAACTAGTATGCTGCTACAATCATAAAAGGGTTTTAACCCTTGAACAATGATTTTGTGCATGGGCAATTCGATTCTGAAGCTATATAATTCTAACGTACAAGACTTAAAATTCAAATATATTTTTACAGCAGATATAGATTTATAGTTCATAAATGCTATTACTTGCACATGTAGTTTGAATTACCATTTTAAATCTAAAGAAAATATTTTCTGTTTCTTTATCATCTTGTTCATTATTCATAAAACAATGTTTACTTTTCCACTACGAAAGATCTTTTACAAAGAAAACCAATCGCTCTATCAGTGCTTTCAGCACTTTGATCCGATAGAATTGATGAGTTTTTGTGAATGATAAAGTACTATATCTTTATAATACATTTAACGCTATAATCCTACTAGTACTCACAATCCAAGTTTATATCCATTTTTGACTGGAATCCACATGTCACTTGAAAGCGGTACCTCAAAGAAGTTCTGATCCGATTGATCTGAAAGATACATATAAAAGAAACTTATAACATTCTATTCTTTCCTTTTCTCTTTTAGAATAAGCGCCATTTTGTATGAACACGCAGAGGTCGCAATTAAAGATTAATGAAAAGAGCTTAGAAAGCAAAATCGACGGTTCTGTTTGTAGTGCTACATGACCGGGGCTACGAGTGATGACAAGTGACCAATGTTCCTGTCGCTATAGCGTAGCGGTATGTGACTAATCGCTTGGTGGATGTGAGAATGATGAACGAGCTATGTCCGGTTTCCTATGTGTAAGGCCAGTTAACCAATGTCAAGGCTGTATAAGAAATGCTAGGTTGACAACATCCAGGCTGTAATTAGAAATACTAAGGTTGTAATGTTAAACACTATGTGAACAACGGCCAGGCTGTAATGAGAAATTCTTTGTGAACAACGGCCAGGCTAAACTGAGAAATACAAAGTGAATTACGCAAGGCTGTAATGAGAAATACTAAGTGAACAATGGCCAAACTATAATCAGAAATTCTAAGTGAACAACGGCCAGGCTGTAATCAGAAATACTAAGTGAACAACGGCCAGGCTATTATCAGAAATACTTAGTGAACAATTACCAGACTATAATAAGAAATATTAAGTGAACAATGGCTAGGCTATAATCAGAAATTCTAAGTGAACAGCGGCAATGCTGTAATGAGAAATACTAAGTGAACAATAGCGAGGCTATAACGAGAAATACTTAGTGAACAATGACCAAGCTTTAACCAGAAATTCTAAGTGAACAACGGCCAGACTGTATTGAGAAATACTATAAGTGAAAAACGGCTAGGCTGTAATGAGAAACACAAAGTGAACAATGACCAAGCTGTAACGAGAAATACTATAAGTGAACAACGGTCAGGATGTAATGGAAATACTAAGTGAACAACGGCTAGGCTATAATGAGCAATTCTAAGTGAACAACGGCTAGGCTGTAATGGGAAATACTAAGTGAACAATGGCCAGGCTGTAATGAGAAATACTATGTGAACAACGGCCAGGCTGTAATGAGAAATACTATGTGAACAACGGTCAGGCTTTAATAAGAAATACTAAGTGAACAACGGCCAGGCTGTAATGAGCAACTCTAAGTGAATAACGGGTAGGCTGTAATGGGAAATACCAAGTGAACAATGGTCAGGCTTTAATGAGAATACTATAAGTGAACAATGGCATGGCTATAATGAGAAATACTAAGTGAACTACGGCCAGGCTTTAATGAGAAATACTATAAGTGAACAACAGCCAGGCTGTAATAAGCAATTCTAAGTGAACAATGGCCAGACCTTAATGGGAAAAACTAAGTGAACACGGAGAGGATGTAATTAGAAATACTATAAGTGAACAACGGCCAGGCTTTATTGAGAAACACTATAAGTGAACAACGTTCAGGCTTTAATAAGAAATACTTTAAGTGAACAACGGCCAGGCTGTAATGAGCAACTCTAAGTGAACAACGGCTAGGCTGTAGTGGGAAAAACTAAGTGAACAATGGCCAGGCTAAAATGAGAAATACTAAGTGAACAATGGCCAGGTTGTAATGAGAAATACTATAAGTGAACAATGGCCAGGCTGTATTAAGAAATACTAAGTGAACTACGGCCAGGCAAAGTTATCTAGCTTCATGTTTCTTTAATGTAAATGGAAGAAACCGCGTCTGTAACGTTTATTCTACAGGTTAATCTTTAAAACGAAAAATGGAGTAAAATTATAAAAATAACCTTCTGTTTAGAAAGACCGAGTCAGCGTCGAAGATTTTTCATCATTTAACCTTCTGTTATACCTTCATTATTCCTTTTCTTTTTTTCGTAAAAATTATCGCATTTACCATCAGATCAAACCTTTCGGATATATTTTTTAGTAAATTATTTACATAAATAACATACAGTTAACATCAGTGAGAACAAATTGGTACATAGAAAAATCGGAAAATATCATCTACGTTAAATAATGCTACGTGGATGTTTCATTCCGTTTTAATCTTTCAACTGTATAAATCGATTATTATTGTTTTCTGTATAGCGTTTTACTATTTCATGTTCCGATAAATAGTAACAGTGAACATTATAGCTACAATATCACCATGCGCTATTGTATGACCGAGTAAACCGTGTACCGAAACTTTGCTGCTCCTTAAACTTTTGAACCGGTATGACTAAATAACGCAACTCAAGTTTGATTTTCTTCAAATATTGTAGTTGGAGGCATGCATCTTTATAAACTGTTCATTCCAATCAAATGGTATCAACATTTTTTATGTAAATCCTGGACTTAAAATTGTTTGATTAACATACTTTTTGCCCGTTTTGGAACATGTAGAGGAAATGTTTCCATAAACTTACCAAAACATTAACCGAAAATTTGCTTATTGAATTTGTAAGAAACTTTTATTTTGATACTACTTTTAAGATATCTATCGTTTATCTTAGATTTTATTCCCTTTGTAGAAAAAGTATCCCTAATGCGCCAAGAAAAAAGTCCATTTCTCCGGCATATTATAATCCTTCAAAACATGTATTAAACAAACTTTCATTATGATAGATCTACTATATTCAATATATCATAAATTCTTTTTTTGTTAAATATTTGTAATTTATAACCATTCATTGTGTCTTTTATGCAAAAATACCCCCCATTTTTTCGCATTAAACAAATCTTAAACAGCAGCAAAAAGACCTCTCGCATGCTTCTTTTTAAAGAAGCAAACTTGTATCTTTATAGTAAGGGCAGACCAATATGAAATGATATTCGTCCTCAATAATATTCGTATTGGTCGATTTTGTCGGGGTGTGTCGTCATATCTTCAAGTTTCAATGCGTACATTATGTGCTAATATTGATATTTAGTTATTATAAGCTATTCTTAACTTTTTATCGCAAATATCTAAAAAAGAAATGGCGCAAGTTGAATGTTTATAAGATCTACATAAGTTGTACCAATAGCTTTATAATTTATACACTTACTAATCAATACACATTACATGATCTGGGAAGTAACATAACTGTTGCTCCCATTCTTCATGTGAGACAGCTATCCAGCTAGATTACGGAAGGACGGGCGGTTCTACTTAGACGTACGTTTGTGCCTGAAATAGTGTGCAGAGGGGCACCTGAGTTCTTCCACCAGTAAAGCCGGAAAGTTATCATATATGACTTATATTGTGTTGGTGCTACGTCAAGGAAGATGTACTTTTGACCACTTACCTACTGCATGTCTTTCCTATAAAATATGACTGAAAGCATACTAGTATTTTACATTTTCATTTTTATTTCATTAGGAGTTATACCTACCCCCAATATTGAAGGACGATGTTCCCATAACTTTTGTTCCTTCCAGCACGTAAAACACGACCGTACCAGGCCGCCAAGCGAAGAACATCCAGGTTGTGATTATTCCACAGTCACAATTAACGGTATACTCCGCATGGTTCAAAACTACTTCCAGTCCTGAATCGATTAAGACATATAATATAGGTCATTACTCAATATTTCAACCACTCGATCTAACACAATGCACGGATAATTCATTTGCAGTACAACTTGCAAAACAGATGGTTAACTCGTGGCATCCCAAGACAGATTTTTTTTTCATTAAACAAATCCTGATATATAGTTTCAAAGAAAACTTTAACTAGAGTTTGTAATTTGTAAACAAAAGCAATGTTAAAAAGGCATTTTTTTTTTTACTGGCAGCCATTTTGTGCTTGCGCGCCAATCGTTTGATAGATCGACAATCCCATCATTTGAAAATCCCATCATTTGATGTAGTCGGCTTGAATCAACAGAAGGCTGAATGAAAACAACCTATCTTACACGTTATAATTCTATATAGAAAACGACTATAGAAAACTATTTCTTGCATATCAGACAGAGAAAATCCTGTCGTACAAACAAGACAGGTCGCGTGCTTCAAATGACATCATTCTCGTGCGCCTTTATGAATGAATTGCGGTCTTAGGATAGGATAAAATCAATGTGCCGTTACGATTGAAGTTGTATATTAATACGCTATTTACAGAAAAGTGTGAAATGAAAATATTAGTTTCCTTTTTTTCCGAAATATCATTTATTTGTATTATGGAAGAAAAAAGACACCGCCAACACGGACAGGAATATCTAGTTATCGAATAACTGTTGAGCGGAAACTCGACAGAGCCTCGTTACCGCCATGAATTACACATGAAATATGACTAGGTGCCACCAGGATACTCTAACGTCCCCCGATTCCTTAAATAATATTATTTAACACAAAGTGCAGTCAATTGTTATTTCAAAAATGGCCGTCATACCTTTAGATCCTTTCAAAATATATACTTGTCTGTTCCAACTGTCAATGTTTTATTTTCAATTTTCTAACCCCCATTTAGTGAGTCATAGATGTATACGAGGCTACCAAAATGTTAAGTTTATAGTATAAATACCCAAAAATACCGATTTTTATGACAGAATTACACTGGTAGAATAATATCAAACGTTTTAGGCACCTTCAAATCACTATTTTATTAATGTCCTGTGCCCACATATAAATTTTATGAACACGCCGTCTACGATATAGAAATACATTGTTAGGGGGCAGGGGACATATCCGAATGATGGCCCCGTCAATTTTTTTAATAACTCAGTCATGGTGTTTTGAAGGTACTGGAAACTTCTGATATTTGTCTGTCATTGTAATTCTTTCTTGTTTGTGTGTAGGAAATGAAAAGTATTTTTGGGTTTTTACCCGTGTAACACCGCACTTTGGGGCCAAACGCACTTTGGGGTCCGACCCAAAAGTGCGTTATGTACTTTGGGGTCCGACCCCAGAGTGCGTTACGCACTTTGGGGTCCAATTTCGACCCCAAAGTGCGTTAAACAGGTACATATGCATTTTTTAACATCAGGCAAACGACCGCACTTTGGGGTCATAGAAAATTTATGTTCATTATGTTTTAAATAATATATTGTAGTCAAAGCCAATGGTAAACAAAAAATAAAGGTATTAAATAGACACAAAACATGTACCCTGAATTATAGTAGAATCAATAGGGATTTAAATGGTCTTGATTAGTAAGTGAAGAACTTTCACCAAATAAATCACCAAATAAAGAATTTGTATCAATTAATAAGCTTAAAATATTTTATTTTTTTCTCAAATTTTCCATTTATTTTAAATGAATGTACACCTTTCATTAACTCCATTGTTTTTAGCTAAATGCATTATTTTCCCGGTTTTTATTTACACATTTTATCGAAATATGATAGTCTTAGCATAGACAAAGGTATAAATTCAGGGAAATCTTAGTAAGACATTTCAGTAAAAATGTGCCTGATAATATGTTAAAAGAACCATTTATTTAGCTAAATGTGACATATAAGAAACTTGACTAGGTGTAGATGCGGCTTTAAGTAGTAGTCCGTACAGGCAGTACTAAAAATATCAAATATTTAAGTAGTCGCAGATTTAGAGTTGTGCATCAGAATAATGTAAAATTCTTAGGGGATTGTGGGGTATCGATCCCCCGAGGATTAAAAATAACGTTTTAAAGACCCATTATGCTTTTATTTGGGTGGGGGTAAACATAAATTGCTGTCAGACATTTTCTTAAGGAGCAATACATGCAAACTATTATTTTCTTGAATGTATGTCATATATCATTGAATAATGCTGTGCAACTGGTTATCTGCCTGTGAAACAGATTTTGAAATATTTGGAATTGTGTTTCTGGCCACACTGAAATACAAAATTGTTCATTTTTAGGTCCCCTGCCCCTTTATGTCTGGTGGTTGATTTGGTACGCTTTTGTGCGACTCGTTGGCGCTAGCGACAAAGCGCCAAACGGCACGTTGTCGCGCTGTCGTCATGTCTCTAGCGCGGCACGCCAAACTGCTCGTTGTCATGCGGCGTGTCTTCGCGATGTCACATTGTCGCTCGGTTCAAATTGAAGGATTGGCTTATAAGCCGCACGACAGCGCGACAACGCGCCGCACGACAACGCGCCGTTTGGCGCTTTGACGTGTTGTCGCTAGCGACAGATCGACAAGTCGACAGTGCAACAACGCATCGTTTGGCGCTTTGTCGCTAGCGCCAACAAGACGCACAAAAGCGTACCAAATCAGCCACCATAGTTATATAGGTTTTGATATAAGCGCATGAAATATTGTGCTGTATCGGGGTAAGACGCAGCATATCTCGTCAGACTTCGTTTAAATCACTGCCTTTACAAACTATAAGTGACCATAGAAAACGCCACGTCACTCTAAAAAAGAGGCTCAAAGAAAACTGTTTTAGTAAAAAATGTCTTTGTAGTCTGATAGATTTACAATCATGCAATGACCTTGTTTTATATAATATGTTCCTAAGTTAACACGTTTATTTTGCCAATTAGAGTTTAAATTGCATTAAAGTATTCCCAAAATAAATTAACGTAATCAAAATTCATTTTAGAATATAAATTGAGCATAAATGGTCACCATAGGCATTTGTGCAGGCTACTAAACTTGCAACATTTTCAATTTTGCCGTTTTGGACGTTCTTCAGGATTTCTTGATACCTTCACCCACTGCTTAAAGCGCCTTACCATGAACATAAAGCTTTTCCAAAATAACTTATTTTCATGACTCTGACGGAGTGTATCAATGCTTTCAAATGTATATCCATGTATATATATGCTTTAAATAACACCAGTTTTTTAGGTTGGGTAAATATACATAGGTTCATCGTACAGAAATGCTTACTGTGGGTGTATTGAACTATGTTACTCTATCCGCCGAATAGAGTACAATAAACCTTAAGCAAAGAGCAAATAAAATATGTGCTACTCATAGCAAGAGTGCTGTTAAATTAGAAAGAAACATGTTTATAAAATTTGTTGTCCCAGCAGAGCAGGATATGAAAAATAAAAACATATATTATGGTGTATTATCGCTAATTGATTACTTAACCCTTTCCCCCATGAGCATATTGTGAAAAATGGCCATTTTCACTGAAAAGCCTCCTGTTACAAGTTCAAACTGCTATGAAACTATGATAAATGCTTCAATACTAATCAAACTTGGCACAAATGTTGACTGGACCATTGCCTTTGTAACGACATGCTCAGTCTTAAATTTCCTGATACCATGGCAACGAGGGGACATCTCAAAATTGCCAAAAAACACTATTTTGCCTCGATTTTTCCATCAAAATTTATTTCAAAGTGCTGCAACTTCACAAGGGATTGAGATAGAGTCAAAGGCTTTTCAGCGTTGGTTACACGTTACCTTATGATCGACCTGGGGTCATTTTAAGCCTCTCACAAGTCCAAAATTTTCTTGGGGCCCAAATAGGACATTTTTTCACTATTTCAGGCCAAAAAAAAGGCGGGGGTCGAAAGTGCGTTGTTTCGCGTATATATGAGGTAAAGGGTTAATGGTTAGACACATACCTTCGTGTCCATGTATGTCCTCTGTACCTGACAAGGCTGCGCCAGTAACAGTGTCACTCGCGTAATTAAAGTCATACTTCCTGACAGGGGCCCCTATGAATCCACCAGTACAAGCTGCACCTGAAATGATGATAATGATTCAGAAGTTCATTAAAGAAATGATAACAGTCTAAGCGATATTTGTCGCATATTTAAAACTGCTTTGGAGTTTTGGATGCGTAGAAATTGATTATTTCCACACCAAAACAATATGCTGCCTCGCTTGATTATTTTGCGGATTTAAGGAACAGTAATGAGAGATGACCTGATAAGTCTTAGGTTACTTTTTTCGGTTGAGTACATCAACACAGTATATGTCTTGTGGCGACTATATAGCTTTTCTGGTGGTGGAAGACCTCAGGTGCCCATCTGTATATTAATGCACAAATGCACCTGAGTAGAATGACCGATGTTCCGTAAGCTAGCTGTATAGTTTTCTTATACGAAGAATCTAAATGCCCAGTGGCGAAACCACTCGGCGAATCCCCAACTCTGTGGCTACTTAAAGAAATAAAATAAGCTAGTTATTGAAACAAAATATGATGACGGTAAACCTTAATTGTAAATTCATACGATATAATATCGTATTAATCCGAAAAGGATACATTTTGTATACATGTATTGCAAGTTATATATATTTTACTTTTAGACTGTTTAAACAACATTGATTAGTGAGAGAAAAAAAACGGATTAATTCCTAACCTTCAGTAACACGTATAGTATATATCACCACAACACATAGAATAAGTAATACTTTCATTTTATTAATGTCCACAAATTTCTAGACTCTCCTATGAAGATTGTGTTTTAAGCTGATATTAAAGATAAGTGCTCTTTCTTCAAGTATTTGCCTGCTCATATATATATAATCCCGTTTAACTTTTGGGAAATCGTAAAGCGGAACCCACTATTGCCTATTCTCTATTGTCTATATCCTTCTCGCTTTGTTTAATAGACTTACACGGGTCTATGTTAATTAATAAAAATTTCGGTTCGAAGTGTTAAAATAACATTGATCTGTATATATATATTCTTATCATTGACCGTATAGGCTTTTAAAGTTTTGTCTTTCCTCTTTTATGTGTAAAATGCATTTCCAATGCATGTTTAAAAAAATAAGGTATGTTGTGTTATGTTTCCAAGAATGTAAAAAAGATGGTGTTACGAAAATATCATTTTTATATAAATCAAACAGCATGAAATTTGTCTCTTGATCTTATCACTAAAAGAAAAGAAAAAATTACAAATATTACTGGTTAGGGAATACATGCCTATGTGGCTTTTCTTGAAATTATACATCTTCTTCCTCCGATAAGATGGGGAAAAACAAATATTATTATTGTCAACAATAATAACGCATTTTCATTGATATTTTTCACAGGTTAAATATGTTATTTCTAGATATATCGTTTCATATTTAAATGTTAAATGTATGAAATGAAATTTGCCGCCGATAACATACTATTTAAATTACATAATAAACAGTAAGGAAATCCCTCGATATGTCTAATCTACCGATCCACTCTCCATACGAAATGAAGATAATTAAGTGGTGCGCATGAGATAATTAAGTCGTGGACACGAGATACTATGTCGTGGTCACGAGTTCACGAGATATATATCTATGTCGTGTGCACGAGATACTTTGTCACGGCCACAAGTACTATATTTTTTGGCCACGAGTTACTAAGTCGTGCACATACATAAAAATTGACAAAAAGAGAATATGATGTTTAAATATAACAAAATTGGTCTGTAACTTATGTTATAATGTTTTGAATGTTGATGTTGTATTAAAAATTTTGACAATGTATTAGTTTATACGAAATTTATTATAGTTTGATTATGTACTATAAATTTGTCTCAATATTTTCGATACATGTGTATTGTTAGTCCATTTAATTTGTAGTACATTTTGTACAATGTTTTTCAAAATAATTTAATTAATTTTAATTTTAACTAATAATTCATTTAAGAAATTATATCGGTGAGTGGTATTTATCGGCTATTTAACACCCGTGTGGAGTTTCGATGCTTAGGAATTAGTACTTTTTTAAGATTTATTTGCTTTCTAGTTCATTCATTATTGATACACAAAAGACACATAAGACTTAATAAAAGATAATGAACTAAACATAATCATGCATGTCATTTATAGAATTTTGATAAAATGTTACTGCATCTTTGATCGTAAAGAAAGAGACGAACAAAATTGATCGCAATGTACACATTATATAGTGCTTAGTGCACATGTACATGTAAAACCTATACAAGTCTGGGGTTATTCAAGGGCATCGAAACAATGAATAGAATAGAAACAAATAACCTTGTATCAAATTTCGTGAAACAATGCATTTTGACTCATTATAAAAGTCACAACACACTGCTTCTATTTTGTTATAAGTTGAACCGGGGGTCCGTCTGCATAGGTGGAACGTTTTAGATAGTTTACAACAAAAGGCTTTTAACATATACCGTATTAGCTGATAACATTTTACTTTTATAATTAATAACTTAAAATTGTACAAATCGAAATCTTTGATAAGTTAAATTGTAGGTGTCATATTATAAGAATCTTACACGTCATTTAAAGCACGCGACTTGTCTTACATGGGGGTGTAAGACAGGGTTTTCTAGCACCGCCGAAACAATGGATAATCCTGTCTGATATGCAAGAAACTATGGTGGCTGATTGTGAACGCTTTTGTGCGTCGTGTTGGCGCTAGCGAAAACATTACAAAGCGCCAAACGGCGCGTTGTCGGACTTTCGTCTTGTCGTCCTGTCGCTAACGATGTACGCCAAACGGCGCGTTGTCGCGCGGCGTGTTGTCGCGACGTCACATTGTCGCTTGGTTCTAATCGAAGGATTGGTTTTTATTTATGTGAACAAAAAAGAGATAGTGAAATTCGTCACCCAGGTGGTTTGACTCATATAACGTATATTTATAAACGTAAATTTCTCTCTACATTTAGGAATCTACCTTTCTCAATTGGCATTTTATGATTCATACATCTAAAATTTAACAAGGCTGAAGACATTATTATTCCTTACTCTTGTATTTTCCCAGAGATATGGAGTAAAGGAGTGGTTTTATCGTTGTATAGAAATAAGCCTTAAAGGGTGATGAAAACGACTCTGGTGATTACAGGGACATAACTATATTAAATTGTTTTGGTAAACGCTTTACTACTGTACTAGTACTCAGTGTCTTTCAAATAGAATTCTATTTGAAAGACCCTGTAAAAAGGTTGGGCCCAAGTTCTTACAACATTAGCGATCGACCTTCCCCTGAAATAGCATATATATGACATAACTATCAAATAAATATACAACATTGTATTAAAGGGAGACACAGGCAAAATTTTCATTTCTTAGTTTTGAATTTTTCATTCATTATTCTGTAAATGCCCTCAAAATAAATATATTAGACAGTCAAAGGAACAAAACTTTTCTCCATATAAAGAATAAAATGGTGGTTTCCTAACTTGACCCGCGTGGGTCAGGTTAGAGCGCTAGCATTTCACAATAGTTGTCAAAGTGAACTCTGGAAACGTTAAAGAAAATGTCAAATGAATGACTTAGGCTTGTTTCAATCATACAATATCCACAATATCTGTTATTGTAACTTCAAGGGTCTGTTCAAGTCACTTGACTTGTTTTAAAACTTTTTGGTGATTCTATTGGCGTCTAAATTTTGTTCAAAATATATAGATATATTTACGCTTCAAACCCAAATTATATAGAATTTAAACAGAAATTTATGCTAAAACTTCAAGAAAAGTCATTTTAGCGTGATTTGAGTTCAAAGATCATTTTAATATTTTTGTCTTTATTTTGCATGAATATCCCTTTAAAGGCATACAGCTGAGGGATTTTGTTCACACCAATAACTTTATACAATAACATATATACAGCAGTTTAAAACAGAATTGATTGAACTAAAATATACGTATCTACATTTGATTGATTATACATGTAATTTTGTTGGAAGCTCAAATTTCTGTAATATGTAAAATTGTATGAACGTGTAATTACGGGGAAATTATTGCGTTAATCAAGATTTAATACACAGAGGATATTTAAATTTTTTTCTATAAATACAGGATTTATTTCTATCGAGTGGTATTAAAATAAATAGTTAAAGAGTTGCGATAGCGAAAATACGCATTTTTGATCAATATTTGTTAATATTTCCTTTATAAGCATATTTTAAATACTAATACTTTAAAAAATAATGGAAATAATTTAGAATTTTGTCTTAAAATCATGTGGTTTCGCATGCCACCATGAAATGAAAATCTTAACATTTAATTCGGTACAACTGTTTTTGTCCGCTAAATGTTTCAACATAATTTACACACCTCTTGTGATACCATTTGATTTTACAGATTTTTTTGCAGACTTAATGAGGGACAATCCGCCCTTTCAGAATAATAATCATAATGAGAATATCACAAACTGGTGAACTATTAAATACATTAAAGCATATACTAGTAGTATGATTCAGCAAATGATGTAGAACAGATAAATTTTATTTATTTTTGTTGCTTTTTTATTGAGGGTAGCTTTAGTCAAAGGGGGTCTTGACTCCATTCTATATCATTCTTCGCAGATAACCTGAAGTTGGCTCATATGACTATATCATATTTGTTGAGTTTGTGGCCAGGTATCGTCCATATTCTTAGGAATTTGCTCATACGATGTTGCGATGTGAAATGACTCTTTTTTGTTTTAATGGCCTTGGCTTGTCAAACTTTTTGTTAAGTTGGCTCATATGGGACCTGTAGGGCTTTATATGAATTGGTCTGTAGGCATTCAGGACCTTAACATGTCCAATCTCATAAATATCCGCTAGCTTCTTACAAAATTAAAAGTAAACTTTAAATAACATACATCATATAATTTTGTGTTTTAAATGTTTTCTCTAAAGAGTAAATTACATTTTACTTATTCCAATGACAGAGTTCTAACAATCATTTCACGTAAAAATTAGTTAAATATCAAATAAAAGTCTTAAATTAAATAAAATTTACTAAAATCCAATCAACATAGCACACACCTCTTATCAACATAAGAATAGCTTATCAGTGATGTACAGATACTGTCAATGACTATTTAAACGTTTTATTTATTAAGCACTATCTTAAAGCGCCACGTACACAATAATCTAATGAACATAATTCCATCCCCACGTGTCAGAAGGGAAATATACATTGTAATATGCCTATATAATTATAATACACAGATTTATGCCATACGCTTGTCTGAAATCAACATGACAGTGCTAAATTGGCACACGTCCCGGCTCGTGAAAATATGTGGTATTTTATCATGTTTCGTGAAAATATATTCCATATTTCACTCAAACAAAAAAATACCCTCTTAATATTATTGAATTAAGATTTGGGATGGAAATAAAAATTGATCTTTTTTCTGGACCTATAATAGAAATGCATAGTCATCAGTCATTCTGCTGACTAATGGTACGTTGTTTTAATAAAATCTATATGTAATCCAGAAAGGGGAAAATTACAGTATGATATATACATATTGAGCCACATAGCCTTATAACTTTTCTGTTCGTATTAGACACGTCAAAATGCCAAATACAATACATTTACGGACACGTCAAAAAGTGTCGACAACGATGAACAGCCCTAAGTTTGATATAAACAATTTCAGCGGCCCAATATATCCTAATATTTTCAGTGGCTGTTCATTTTAATAGTGAAGGTATTGAAGAATCGTTTTCTTCGTATAGGTTAGAGTGCATATTGGGTGTTCTTCGTAAATAAGAAAGCTAAAAAGGAGCGGAGCTTGCGAAGCGACTGTAGCTTTCTTATTTACGAAGAACATCCAATATGCACTCTAACCGGCTTAGTGCTCCGCCCATTTTTTTCCGCCCAACACACTGCGTGACGTCACACGATAGCCTAAATGTGTATAACCATATCTGGAAGAGGTAGCGGTACACATTTACGGGTCACGTGTTTTGCATAGCTTATCTAGGTAAATCAGACAATATCACGGTGCATATCCATATCGGTACCCTCTTTGCGAAATATTGTCAAACGGTACCCTCTTTGAACATACACAGGTCATTCTCTGCTAAAAACCAAAGGGACCTGGCACAGTGTTGGGATAGTGTAAAAAAAGTAATTCTAGAAAAAAAATTATACTTTATAGATTATATATACAGTATATTTTTTTTTTTGAATTACATTTTTACACTATCCCAACACTGTGCTGGGTCCCTGTGCTAAAAACAAACCAGCGATGGATAACAATGCAGTAAAAACTCATTGTAATAAGGAAAGGAGGTATGACACGTAGAAAAGATGTATACCACGGAACACTAGAATGTTTTATTTATGTGCTGATTTGTCATGTGCCCGATTTTCATGTACTGCAACTTCACAATAAGCTACAAGAAGTCGACATGTCTTGCCTCGCCCGTCACCTCGACATATTTTTCGGGCTGAAATGAACCTGTAGCTTGATTATATAGAAATCTATGCATCATACATATTTATTATGTTCATATTCATATCATCTTCGGACAAATGGCAGTATTTTGCAGCGGCACGGGCTGTAATATTTACATAAAAAGTAAGAAATATTACATACATACTTTTTATTTGGAAATTATAAAATGATACTGGTTCCGTAAGTAATAAAACATTTTTACTGTTATTTTGCCTGTTTTCATTTCAATGAACCTCTTTTTTTAATTCTATGCCGTAGTGACGATATACATGTGCGTGTACAGAAAAAACATGATGCATAAATATTGATTAGTAGGAGTAAACTTCAAGATCTCTGCACATGCGTATATTTCACTTTAGCGCTCTTCGAAACTTAGCTCCGCCCACTTGCGTTTTATAATATAAAACGTCCACTTTATGTATAGGTTAGAGTGAGGAAGCCATCCAGCTGGCTTACGGAAGGTCGGTGGTTCTACCCAGGTGCCCGCTCGTGCCTGAAATAATGCCCGGAGGGGCACCTGGGGTCTTCCTCCACCAATAAAGCTGGAAAAAAATCGACGAAAAATCTCGGCGGGACGCTCTAGGATGACCCGACTTGAGTGTGCGGTCGCCCATATGGGCTTTCCGGCGGCGACCTTAAATAAACGCATAAAAAAATAGGTTAGAGTGCATATTGGGTGTTCTTAGTAAATAAGAAAGCTAAAAAGGAGCTAAAAAGGAGCAGAGCTTGCGAAGCGACTGTAGCTTTCTTATTTACGAAGAACATCCAATATGCACTCTAACCGGCTTAGTGCTCCGCCCACTTGCGTTTTATAATATAAAACGTCCAGTTTATATAAAATCTGTTCTATTAAGATTTGTAGCCTGAAAATTTGAAAAATCCTCGTCGGTGATTGGCTTAAAACAATTGGCGAGCACTAAATAAAATTTGTTCTATTAAGATTTGAAACCTGAAAATTTGAAAAATCCTCGTCGGTGATTGGCTTAAAAAAATTGGCGAGCACTAACTATTGATATTATGCATAATGTTCAACATGAATTGACAGTTAATTCATTACCTATCTTTTCCTAATTATTGTTTATGTATATATATTTGGTTTTAGACAAATTCTGTATTAGAAAAAAAATGTTATACCTATCGTTGATATATATTTATATTTACGTACTGTCGTTACCCATGTTACCGCTTGAACAGTAACTTTTGTATGTTGTTCATCTTCATTTCGTATCAGTCGAAACAAGTAGACTGATTTGATTTTTATATTATAAACATGCATTTTCTCCAATTCAAGATTCATTGACGTTCTTATTCTTTAACTATATAATAGTCAACGAATCGGTAACTTTTGACCAATACTTTTTCTTATTCTGTTATGATAAGGAAAACTCACTCAAAAAGACAGTCCTTACAACTTAAATGCTTTAATATCATCATATATTTCTTCACTTAACTGGTTCGAAAGATATTCATAAAACGTTACTTTAAAACTTTATAATTTATATCAAGGATATTAAATTACTTCAGTCGTGCAAAAATCAGTAGCTTTTAAATAATTTGCATTAAATTATTTCCGAAAATTTATTTCATAAAAAGACAAAATTTACAAGGGACAAAAACTATTCAACTATTAGAATATCTAAATCATTTGTTTAATCATTTGGTATAAGATACATGTGATATAGCAGACAGTTTGATCTTTTCCGGGTTTTTCGCGGTTTCCGCGGAATAAACTCTGCCCTTATCTCCATATCTTTTTCTTTGGGGTAGAATGATGCTCTTCTTTTGTAATGGCGGACAAGGAAACAGAAAATCCGTTTGGACTTTGCAAAAATGACGCAGACTTTTTAAAGTACTTTCACACATGCATAAAAGAACTTCGAGGATTGGTGATCAGTAATATAGAATATTATCAACGGGGAAAATCCAGCATTCATGCTTGTTTCTATGCAACTTCTTGCATTTTATTGGAAAGAACTCAAGTTTTAGAACCGCTGGTGATAGATATCGTTCCAAAACTGGGAAATTATGACTTTTCTGAGACAGTGCAGGCAAATGGATATCGGAGTTTTATAAGTATTGTCAATAGGTACGTAAATAAGAACAGAAATCATAAAAAATATGAATGTATGAAATAGGCAACACCTCGCAGTGTCTACAGATTCTACACTTTTTCACTAAGTAATTCGACCGAGTAAGAGACCGATACAGTATAAGCATCCGTTTTCAATCAGAATTTCTCGGCTTTTATCGTTATCTTGTAAGTCGAAAAGTTGGGATTGGCTATTATCGGAATACATCGCAGTTTATCATTGCATTAAGGCGCCCAACAAAATGGTACTGAAAATTTCCCTGATAGGTATAGAATTCTATATTTGTTTTTCTTTTTAAATATACACATGTAGTCTATAGCCGGGCAAGCCAAAGCCCAGGGCCACGAAGCCTGACTATTTGGTAGAATAGAAAAAAAAGTTGAAATATATACTGAGACGAAGCTAAGATCACAAGCTTTAGGTGTAATAAATTTTAAAATTGGACATTAAATTTGGTATGACTTAATACCAGAAATGAGTCATATCCGCAGATAAAACATCGTATCAAGAAAAATTCATAATAAAATAATCAATTTATAAAATATAAGTCATATTCGGTATCTCCTGTCCGCCACGGATATGACTTTTATAGAACGTAATTCGAATATAACTTATAACTTTTTTATTTATGGACCAAATTTAACGATATTTTGCATGTAAAATCATTTTATTATTATAAAACATCGTATCAAGAAAAAATAATAAAAAAATAATTACTTTGTAAAATATAAGTCGTATCCGGTATTTAAAGTCATATCCGAGGATATGACTCATATCAGGTATTAAGACATACCGCATTAAATTGCCCAAAACGAGCGGTTTAAAAACGGCTTTTTGTATTGTTTTAGCATAAGAGATACCGATTAAACTCGAAGATAAGGGAAACAACTCTTTTTTCACTTGATATACCTCAGTTATTTACATTCATATAGAGACTGTCAACTAGAGGGTGTATTGTGTGATTCTGAGATCGCTTTTTTTTTTAAAAATAAGTCAAAGCGTGCATCAAGTGATCTTTTCAACTAAATTCAGTTAATCTTAAACCTATCTTCAATGTTTCTGCCTTTTTTGTTTTCACTTGGGGTAATGACTTAAATACTTAGTAACTTACTAAATCGCTTGTAGTTGTACAGGGCTCGAGCTGGTGGGCGATTCGGGCGAAATAGTCGCCGAATTCCGTCTGACTTCGCCGACATCCTACATGAAAGCGAAGATGAAGTCGCCCGATTTTATTACCAACAATAACAATAACTGTGAATAACATGTTGTGTGTGTTTGCTTTGTTTACCCTTGCCGCCGGAAAAAGGGACTGTCATGCATCTCAATCAACGCGAAATGTCATTAATCCGTTTGTTTACCAACTTGTCATAAAAGTCTAATTAACAGACACTCGAGGAACCATTAGACTCCGCCCACGGCGAGATTACCGATACGTGCGAGAAACCAATCGTAATTCACGTTTTAATCGAGGCGACATTATTAAACCAATCATTAAATCGCTAACATACAACTACCCGTAACAATTATTTATGATGGACGGATCAAACGTAAATTAAATTTTCACTATCAAATGATTGTCAGAATTAGGAGGACCGCTCGACATATAACTGTAACGGTAATTTTAAATGAAAGTTATATGATAACCTTTTTTGTCGACGAGTTAAATTTTATAAAATTGACGGAGTATTACACTGTATTTATTATAAATGAAGTTAAATTAAAGATTGTTTCTTTCGTTATCTACTTTCATTTTCTTTACAACATAAGTGATTATGAATATAATGTCCGGCGCAAGCTTTTTAATAGTAAATCAGAAGGGAATAACTGTTAATCCACCCATGATATGATCCATGATAGGAATCAACTATGGCTTTTTTATCTTCATTTAATGCAATGGTTGCATTACATGATACTCATTCTTATTACTTGTTTCAAACTACTTTTAAATTAAAATTGAATATTCTGTTGTAACACAAATCCAATTCATTTAATAAGATATGTACAGTGAGTCAACATAATTGCGATAACATACAACAAACATCGATAAATGAATCTCCTCACTTCTCCCTAAAGTCTCCCCACTTCTCCCTAAAGCAGCTGGATTGAGAAGTGACTTCTCCCTAAATTTTGAACCTAGCTTGAGCCCTGTTGTAGCAGCTGGCTGGGTCATCTCGGGTATGGATTGGCTGTTTGATCCGCGTACTATACTATTATTCGTCAATATTTTATTTTTTTCTATTTCATTGTCTTATTTCATGGTTTATATGATTTCACATTTAAAATTGAATCCACACATCAGAGAACATGAATTCACATCAAATTAAATTTAGGGAAAAATTAAATTAGAAATTGCTGAGGAAAACCTTGTGATGATTTATTAATATGTGTTTCAGGTGCTGTGGACATTTGCTGCAGCTGTGCCGGCATATAAACATTAACAAGAGTAGTTTACTGTTCCGCTCATCACATTACCTGAAAGAACTGGAAAGCTATGTTGAAGTATTAGGACAATTGATGGCTTTTCTAGGGTATATACACTTTATTAGATTTTGAAAATTGTCAAAGCAGTTTTGTTTGTAAGATCTTAAGTCACATGGACACTGTTTAGGCCATATGGTGCCATTCCAGCTTTACTGGTGAAGGAAGACCTCAGATGCCCCATCCTGCATTATTTCTGGCAAGAGGTGGCACTTGAGTAGAACCGCTGACCTTTCCTAAGTTAGCCGGATATCTTCCTTATGAAAGAATCAAGAGTCCATAAATTGGATTTGAACCCACAACTGTTAAATATATTTTCAAAATTTTCTTAAAAATTAGCATGAATCTAGAGGCATGATGCTTAACTTCAAACCACTTGCCTCTCAACACTGCCAGGGACTGTTTTTGTTGTGAGGAAGCTATAATTCAGCTAGCGCACATGAGGTGGGCTTCCATTAGTAGAAGTATGGAGCCATTCACTCCTGATATTTGCTTGTGACTTCTAAAATCTGTCTTTAATACCAATAATATGTGATATCCAGTGTCAGACATTCTGCAGTTTCTGACTTCAAAATAAAGAATGTAATGTTTCTTCAGTTCCAAATGATAAAATCACTTAATTTTGTTGTTAGCATTTAGCTTGACTATTTGGAGAATAGAGAGAGCTATTGTACTTGTCAAGGTGTCTGCATCGCACATTGGTAAACTCTACATAAATATCCAGGCTCTTGTTTCCTATCAAGCACTGAGAATAGTCAAGCACTCTGTCCTACTGACAGCTGTTGTTGAATAAGCGTGTTAAACAGTATCCATACATTGTATCTGAGTAATGTAAGAAGCAACTTATAATGGTAAAAGATAATTATATATACTGTCACAAATTGAATATTTTAATTTTCATGCAATTTTGCAACATTTCAAACAGGTACCTGCAGCAGCTGATGTTGTTAAGTAAAGATGGAGATTTATTTTTGGACAATGATGAGGCAGTTGGTGATGATTTACTGCTGGAGGTAGAGATGTTGAACACTGATTGCTTCTATGGAAGGTGTATGGGTTTTCAGGTAACTGATCGGTCCTTAAAGTTTCACATTTTCAATGAAAAGTCAAGTTGCTGAATTTAGGTAAAAGTATTATGTTCAGAATAAGATTCATACTGCAGTAAGTTTCATATCTCGCCCCCAGAGTTAGATTATATCAAGTGTTATTAATTGAAGTCTATTTGTGTTTTGAAATTAATTTTGTTTTTAGTCCCCTACTGGTTTACCGGAGGGGACTTTAGGTTTACCCTCCGTCCGTCTGTCCGTCCGTCCGCACTCACAAGACAGTAATTATGTGGCTAGAGGGACAATAGGTAACTGTTCTTTCTCTTTGATGTCATTCATTCCGTAATGCTTTTATGTGGCTATTTTCTTTTGTGTGGCTAAAAAGAACAATAGAGAGAACAATAGAGTAGCCACATAATTACTGTCCTGTGGGAACGTCCGTCAGTCCGTCCGTCTGTCCGTCCGTCAGTCCGTCCGTCCACAAAACTGGATCCCGCAATAACGCAAAAAGTACTGAAAATATTTTAATGAAACTTGATATATGGATAGATGGCAGTATGGAGATTATGCACGTCTTTTTCTTTTCTTCCTATGTTGAAAATTCTGGTTGCTATGGCAACAAATAGACTGAAAATATGGCAAATTTTACACATAACCTGGATCCCGCGATAACGCAAAAAGTACTGAAAATATTTTTATGAAACTTGATATATGGATAGATGGCAGTATAGAGATTATGCACGTCTTTTTCTTTTCTTCCTATGATGAAAATTCTGGTTGCTATGGCAACAAATAGACTGAAAATATGGCAAATTTTACACATAACCTGGATCCAGTGATAACACAAAAAGTACTGAAAATATGTTTATGAAACTTGACATATGGGTAGATGGCAGTATGGAAATTATGCACATCCTTTTTTATCTTCCTATGTTGAAAATTCTGGTTGCTATGGCAACAAATAGACTGAATTTCAAGATTTCTGATTCTAGTTTTTAAGTTTTTTCACTATAAGTTCTTTATTTCTTAAGGTATTTTCTTCAAACTTTAAATATAAGTTGATTGTCATCAACCACATCATATGTGACAAGGTTTACAACTCTAGCACAAAATTTATCAGAATTACCTCCCTTGAACTTAAAATTTTCATGAAAAAAACATTGTTTTTTTTTTTAATAACTTCTTTTTCTGAATGTATCTACTTCAAACTTCATATAAATGTTTCTTGTTGTCACTCAACATTTGTGAGTGTTCAATACTCTAGCAAGACTATTTCCAGAATTATGCCCCTTTTGAACTTAGACTTTTTTTTGAGAAATTGGTAATTTTTACTCCAACTTCTTCAATCATGATAGGATTTAAAAAAATTTTGATAACAGGGATGTTTAAAAAATAACTTTAGAGTGTCCTTCAGTCTATCTGTCTGTACATAAAAACTGTTTCCTGTGATCACTTTTCAAGAACTTTTTCAACAAATTTACTTAAAATAGGAACCTAAGTGAATGGCCAATGGCCCTTCAGAATGTTGCTTGGGCTCTTACCGGTAGGGGGCTTATGGATTGCTCGCAATACTATGATAATTGCTTGTTTTATCAGGATGCTCCTTTGGGAAAGTGTGTTAACCAAATACAGGATATTACTTAAATATGTTTTGTTTGAATTTTAAATATGTTAATTAATTCTCTTTAGGGTGTTTTCAGGAGTTTTCATATAGACATATAGTCAAAGTTAAAATTGTTCAATAGAATTTCTGTAAACGTGGCTTGTTGTTAGAATATGATAACAGAATCATTTTAAGCGAAAAATAATTTGCCTATATGTCTATATGAAAACTCCTGAAACCCTCCGTAAGGAAGGAATATGTACTAATTTATTTGTTTTTCATTTCTTAAATTCAAGTTCAGTGAATCAATGCAGAAGGTATTACAGATGGTTGTAATTGCCATGGCAACATTTAGTGAATGTTATGAGGAGACATCTCAAGTGATCCAGATTGCCTCATCTTTATTCAACAGTGGAAAATACCTAGCTAATTATGATCTTAGAGCAAAGCAGGTTTGAATTGTTCACAGTTTTTATGTATGTTTGTTTGTTTTCTATTATTTACACAAAACTTAAAACATATTTTCGGTCATATCTAAGCAGCCGATCTAGGTGGATAACTTATCATTAAAATCCTTCAAAAGTGACTAACTACTACTCCTGCATGATTTCTGAATCATCAATGAGAGACAAATGACCAGTAGACACAATATCTGAGATCAGTTGTCACAGAGAAATCATGTCCCATCTGAGGATCAAACAAGGGATGCCTGGATTTCTTAGTTGATGTTCTCTCTATTGAGCATAGCAGTTACAGATTTGTTTTACAAATTTTTATAGAAATACAAAAGATATCACATGAATTGCTATATCTATATACATTTGTTTTGGACATAAATTCAAGAAATTGATATATATAAACTGATATAAACTGAGCTTCTGCTGAGCATTAAAATTTTATATTGGATAAGTTTTATAAAATTTGATATTTTGTAACAATTAAAGAGAGATTCTTTTTATCACATCACTAAACTTAATGAAATTCTTGAAAGTATAGTATTTTTGGCTATAGTACATTGAAATCAAATGTGGTTGTACGATAAATGATGGACTAATATATTAATGGCAAAGCAATTAATTTAATGGCAATAATTTACCAGTTTAATGGCCAGTCATGTTTTACCAAATAAGTAAAATAGAACAAGATCCAAAATTCTAAATGTATATCTCACTCAGTTTCGAACAGTGAGATATGACTTTATATCACACTATCTTGCATTGTCTCAATATGTCATAGAAAAATGTAAGATAAATGACACATACTAAAATAATATTACATAACCATGCATATATTTTGATGTGGCGTTATTTGCATTAAACAAAACATACTAAAACATAGTGTACCGACACGCTAAATGTTTATGTTACTTTTTGAGCACATCAATGAAAAATGATTTTTTTACTGTAAACAGTTCTTTTTAGCTCACCTGTCACAAAGTGACAGGGTGAGCTTTTGTGATCGCTTTTCGTCCGGCGTCCGTCCGTCCGTCGTCCGTCCGTAAACTTTTACTTTAAATGACATCTCCTCATAAACCACTAAGCCAATTTCATCCAAACTTCACAGGAATGTTCCTTTGGTGGTCACCTTTGAAAATTGTTCAAAGAATTTAATTCCATGCAGAACTCTGGTTGCCATGGCAACCGAAAGAAAAAACTTTAAATATCTTCTTTTAAAAAACCCAAAGAGCTAGAGCTTAGATATTTGGCATGAAACATCTTCTAGTGAGTGTCTACCAAGTTTGTTCAAATAAAAGCCCTGGGGTCAAAATTGGCCCCGCCCCAGGGAGTCATTGATTTTCCCTATATGTATATAGTAAAAACTTAAAAAATCTTCTTTTAAAGAACCAAAAGAGCTAGAGCTAAGATATTTAGCATGAAACATGTTCTAATGGGTGTCTACCAAGTTTGTTCAAATAAAAGCCCTGGGGTCAAAATTGGCTCCGCCCCAGGGGGTCATTGATTTTCCCTATATGTATATAGTAAAAACTTAAAAAATCTTCTTTTAAAGAACTCAAAGAGCTAGAGCTAAGATATTTAGCATGAAACATGTTCTAATGGGTGTCTACCAAGTTTGTTCAAATAAAAGCCCTGGGGTCAAAATTGGCCCCGCCCCAGGGGGTCATTGATTTTCCCTATATGTATATAGTAAAAACTTAAAAAATCTTCTTTTAAAGAACTCAAAGAGCTAGAGCTAAGATATTTAGCATGAAACATGTTCTAATGGGTGTCTACCAAGTTTGTTCAAATAAAAGCCCTGGGGTCAAAATTGGCTCCGCCCCAGGGGGTCATTGATTTTCCCTATATGTATATAGTAAAAACTTAAAAAATCTTCTTTTAAAGAACTCAAAGAGCTAGAGCTAAGATATTTAGCATGAAACATGTTCTAATTGGTGTCTACCAAGTTTGTTCAAATAAGAGCCCTGGGTTCAAAATTGGCCCCGTCCCGGGGGTCATTGATTTTCCTTATATATGTGTATATCAAAAACTTAAAAAGTATTCTTTGAAAAAACCTAAATAGCTAGAGTTTAGATATTAAGCATGAAACATGTTCTAGTAAGTGTCTACAAAGTTTGTTCAAATAAAAGCCCTGGGGTCAAAACTGACCCAGTCCCAGGGGTGTCATTGTTTTTAACTATATGTGTATAGTAAAAACTTAAAAAATCTTCTTTAAAAAAACACAATGAGCTACAGCTTAGATGTTTAGCATGAAACATTTTCTTATGGGTGTCTACCAAGTTTGTTCAAATAAAAGCCCTTTGGTTAAAATTGGCCCTGCCGGGGGTAGGGGAGGGCAGATCATTGTTTTTCATTATAAGTGTGAACATCATGAAACGTCTTCTTATAGGTGTCTTCCAAGTTTGTTCAAATAAAAGCCCTGGGGTTTAAACTGGCCCGCTCCGGGGGCCTACATACAGGTGAGTGACCTTAGGGCCATCATGGCCCTCTTGTTTATGCATGTGATAAATAAAATATTATATTCCTGCAGCTTCATTACTGAAGTTCTTGAACTTATTGAATAAAATATTGCTTGCCACAGACTCCCATGATATACTTTTATTCAACTCATTCAATAAATTCAGTATTGAACATACACTTATTTAATATCTTTCATAATATACAGAATAAATGTTCTGTTTTTATTTCAGGTGGTAGACATCACAAGGACAGCTGATATCAAATTTTGTAAACAATTCTGGTCAATTACAGAGTCCCCGCTACTTCATGTAAGTCAAAATCAAATTTTCTCTGCCTTTTCTTATGATAAACAAGCTGCCAACAAAGTGTAAGAAATAAAAACTCTACATACCGAACCTTGCATTGAAAACCATTATTAAATGACAAGAGAATTTTTATAGATTTAAACCCTATTTGATGTGTTTTGACAAAGTTTTGAAATCCTGGATGAAGATTCATGGGTTTGATTTAGCTGCACTGAAATTTATCAATATGAGTATATGGCTGTGATATGTTTAAGCTAATATCTTGCTGTTTATCATTTTCAAATTTAATCATGTTAATGTATTGATTTTATTTATTACAGCAAGTTCGATCTTTTACCTTTCCTCATGTAGAGGTGAGCGAGGTTCTCTCCCTTGAACCAGAAAACTTCGATTTACCAACAGCTGAGGGGCAGGATGACACAGTGACTATAACTCCGCCTTGTGCCCACACAGGTCCCGCCCCTGTCAAAGTCAGACTCATCTCTCATGCTTTAAGAGAAGGAATGGTAAATAATAAATTATTCATTGATACACATGTTTTTAGCTCGTCTTTTTTGAAGAAAAAATCAAGTTATAATAATCACTGCCTAGTTGTCATAATTGTTGTGCTAAAACTTAATTATTCAAACATTTTTCAAAAGTGACCAACAAGAAACTTAGACAAGGGACATAATTCTGAAAGTAATATTTTTGAAGTTATGTCTCTTTTTAAACTTAGAATTTTTAAGAGACAAGCATTATACAAGGCATACAGATTGATTTCAATAATTTAATTAAGTACAAAAATCAAAAGTTTGATTTTTGATAAGCAATATTAAAGATTTCCAAGAAATCCTCACATTTCTTTAAAAAAAATAATTGTAACATTATAATTATTGATGAATCCATCTAGCATAAGCAAAATTGTTCTGAAGTTTGTCAGCTCAGAATTTCTCAGTTATACCACATACAATTTTTTTTGGAAATATTCTTGGCAAGAGTGAAGAGCATTAAGTTGATAGTTTAAAAGCAAAGAACAATTTTAATTTATTGTATAGAAACAGACAGTAATTTAAAACAAAAGGATATGATTTAATAGTAAAATTCAATTGTTATTTAGGCTGTGTGAAATGGAATTGACGTGTCTTTTTGGTCTGGATATCATCATAGAATAAAAGCTTATTTGATTAATTTGAACATTGTCTAAATTATATTTTGATATATTATTTTCAGCAAGTGACCAGGAAAATGTTTCAGCCAAAGACAGGAAGTTCAAAACCTGTTGTGTTACCTCCGTCACCTGGGCTGTTGTTCCACTGCCACGGTGGTGGGTTTGTTGCCCAGTCTTCACAATCTCACGAGGTACTTTCGTTTTTTTTTACATAGAATTTGAAAATGTATTTTAAATGCTTCCACTCATAATAGCCTAGAAAAGATACAGTTGTTAACATATCCATAGGTTAAAAGAATATTCAATAATGCAAAATTGGTCTTAACTAGCAATTAGTAGCTTTTATAGGGTTATCTTTTTTCAGATTTTCAGCTAAGTTTTCGGTTTTAAACATAGCGTAATCTGTTTTAACAGCTTTGAATGGTTAAGTAATGAGATTTATCTCCCTTGAATGACTTCATAAATGTTGATGATTTAAGGATATTTCAACATTTTTTAATTATAAAAAAATATAATCATGCGAAGAAAAAAATATTGATAAGAATTGAATTCCTGTATGATAACTATTATCTTACAGTTTTTAGTGAATTTTTAGAATTAAACATTTGGTTATGATGTATAACATTAGGCAATGAATAATTTGATTTTCGTGTATAAAATTACTTTACTGTATGTTTTAGATGTCTGAATTTAAGGTCAATTTTGGTAACTTTTTCACAGTTTATGGTTAAGTATTTCAGTGCAGTATTTAGGTATCATATGAAATATTTGATATAAATGACTCCTACATTTATTCAATTTATCATTATTGTAGTAAAGAAATGAATCAAAAGGTACTAACAAAACAACCTGTAGTTGTCTGAGTGCAACATTAATTTTGTATTATTCTGTGTATTTCAGTTCTGGTTTTTTTTTAGAACTTTAATTTCAAGATGCTTGTTCACAAGTTTTATCCTGTCATATTTATTTAGCTATTTTTATATACCATGACATACTATTCTAATATTGTCATGTCTAATACACTGTCAGATTTTATTACAAACCTGCAAGTTTTCTGGTGGAAAAAGTCATTTTCTGACGTAAGAAATACAAAAATCCAAACCTGTACTCAATACTTTTTGTACTCATCCACTAGCCTGTGATATGTGTCAAACGTGATGATGGACTTATTGTGTGTACAAGGTTGGTACATTTCAGTGCTCCTAGAACTTTGTTATTCTACCACTAAAAAGCCAGACAATCCTATGCATCCTTGCAGTCTGGCAAGCCTCTGTTTTATTGGCTGATCAATTGTATTATTTTGATATTAAGAATTAAGAAGCTGCTATTTGTATACAGAGCCGTACATGTTCATTAGTAACATAGGTTGAGCAGGATAAAAATGTTTCCAAAAAAGGCAAGAGTGTAAACAGTCCTTCCTTTTCAATTACACTCTTTCTCTCTTCACTCATTGGTTTGTAACCTGTTGAATTTGTGTTTAGAATTTGCCGTTCTGAATTTGGAACAGTCCATTCAAAGTTCAACAAAAACATACAAAAAAATGACCTACCAACAGTATGCCAGCTGGCATAACTCAGTCGGGTAGAGCACCAGACTTGTAATGTTGACATTGTGGGTTGGAAGCCAATTTGATCCATCTTGCACTATCCTTCAAAATTTAATATGACTAATACTCTTGTAGAGGACTCGCCCACATTGGCAACCAATGGCGAGTATAAATAAAGTCAAATACCCACATGTTCACCTTTTAAACAGAGTCAGACATTCTTTTTATATTTTAGGCAGATTTATATTTTGTCCTAAACATTTGCCAATATCGACTGATTACCAATCACCATTATAACAGTCAATCGTTTGAAACATATAGTTTATTCCGCTCAACTTGACATTGAACAAATTTGCATAATATCACCTTAAGTGCTAAGTAAAACTTGAGAGTGTGCATTTTTGTTATTTTGACAACCATCTATTTACTTCTAAGTTTTTCTTATTAGTACATTATTATGTGAACAAGCTAGTTTTAATTTGACATTGTCCATTATTTTCAGGTACTCACTTTTTGTAGACATCTATTCACATAAATATATAGATTCTTTTATATTCAATGTACATGTATTTCCAATGCATTAATGTTTAGCTCACTGTTACACAAAGTGTTATTATTGTCACTTAATGTTTGGTGACTGTAGTCTAACCCCTGATTTAAACTCACAAAAACTGCACAGTTATGATCCCCCACACAGCAAATTTCTGGAGCATTTATTCTCTTATGCCATGTGTAGATAATGTACATTTTCTTGAAAGCTCTTTAAAATTATAGATATTGAAGTGGTTGCCAATTTAAGCTTGAATGTCTGTTTTAAAGAAAAAGTTGAGCGATTATGATTGCTGTGTTGACATCGTCATGTAAAAAACATTAATGTAGCCATATATTCAAACATAGATGTCAACATGAAACTTGGAATACGTGCATATCATGACAAGGTGTAATTAAGGGACATAATTGTGAAAATACTATTTTTTGAAGTAATGTCCCCTTTTAGTTAAGAATAGTTATAAAAATAAGGTTATTGATACAAAACACAGCATGTGGTGTTTTTGAAATTAATCTAAATATAGAGCTGAATGACTAGAGATTAAGTTACATTTATTTCAAGTAATACACTTAAGATTTGTGATAATTTCTATGAAAACTTAGACTATAATTTTAATGAGAACTAACATTGTCAAGTATTATCATTAAAGTGATTTAATCTAGTCTTCTATACAGAAATTACATATGATTTGTTAAGATATTATTGAAGAAATGTCTCCGACTTAAGTTGTAGTGGAGTAAACATTTTGTATTAAAATATGAAAATTGTGAATTTGTGCCATAATTGCATACTACATTCAATGTTTCACCTGAAATAGTGAATATTTACTGATGTACATTTCTCTACTATAAACACATTTGTCTCAAGTTTGATTTTTGAAGGCATGCTGCTTTAATAGTTTCATAAGTGATGACAGATATTTGAGATTTTTAAGCCATATAATATAAGAATCAGATTGTAAAATATGCAACCTTATCATTTCGCCTGTATGGCTTCGTGGTCGAGGGGTTAGAGTCGATGACTTCTAATCCAGTTACCTCTCTGGCGTGGGTTTGATCCACGGGAGATGCTTTGGTAGTTTAGCACGGAGGAAGGTAGTCTAGTACTTGTGTAACTCTCCAGGAATGATGGTTAGGAAACTACCCGCTTATATGATTAAAATACTGTTGGGGAAAGGCGTAAAATGAAACAAACAAACATTTCACCTGTATTATTTTGTGTACTTATACTGAAAATTCATAAGAACAATATGAATAAATATGATTTGGTTGTGAATAATTGTTCACTTACAATACGGTGTTTGTTGATTTAATAAATATACAGATAACATATTTTTATATAGCATTTATAAATAGTTCTTAAAATGATATGTAAAGCATAACAGGACTCCCTTCAATTATGAAAGATATTTATCAACACAAAGTTGAAAAGCAGTGACTGATTTAAAATACTTGTATTGGTCAATATTTATTGTTATTAAAATATTTGAAGTGATGTTTTGCTGCTTCACAGGGAAGGAACTGTTAACCTAGGGGACGGAGTTCATTTGATAACTTGTCAGGAGTTCTTCTGATTACTGTCACCGAGTTTGTAGGAAAACTTTTGTATAGACCATAGAAACACTTGTCAAAAATAATTTGGAAATTTTACTCAAAACTACCAGATTTAAACAAGAGGCAAAACACATATGAGCTGCGTCATGACAAAACCAACATAATGGGTTTGCGACCAGCATGGATTCAGACCAGCCTGCGCTTCCCCGCAGTCTGATCAGGATCCATGCTGTTCGCTATCAGTTTCCCTACTTGTAATAGAGTTGGTAAGCGTAGGCTGGTCTAGATCCATGCTGGTTGCAAACGCACTATCTTGGTTTTGTCATGACGCGACTCATATAAGAAAGACACTAGATCTGTTTGTCTAGAACATTGATTTTCAACGAAGTCTGCCCTCTACATTTAAGTCTCACAGAAAACTGTTTACATGGTCTTGTTTCAAAGTTAACAGACATGAGAGCTCCAATGCTTTTGTCAGTCATATTACAGCAATTAAATTATTGTAGCTTAATAAATAGTTATTTTTAACTATTCAAAGTGTTTTGATTAATTTAAATTAATCAGATTATAATTGTAATGTACACACCCCTGACTTCAAGTTTTCAGAAAAAGTAAATTTCATATTGATGAAAATCTTTTATTAAAATCACATTGTTAAAATATTGATATAATTATGTATAATATTACCCATTGCTGGAGTCATTTTTAATACCATTTCAGAAAGTTTTACCTATTTCAAACTTCTTTTTGTTTTGGCTTTCAGAATTATCTACGTGTATGGGCGAGAAAACTTGAGATGCCAATCCTGTCTGTAGATTATGCCTTGGCTCCAGATCTCCCATTTCCACGTGGGTTAGAGGAAAGCTTCTATGCTTATGCTTGGGCTTTAAAAAATCCAGAGAAACTAGGTTTGCATTATATAATTTAAACATATTTAGAGAAGAATATATATATATATTCTACTAATGTTTAAGCTTAGTACATTTGATTCTAATCTCTTAGATTAAGTTAGTGTCACTTTAGTGCAGTAACTGGTTAACTCCATTAACTAAATTTCAATAGGAGTTAACCAGTTACTGTAATAAGGTGATGTTTGCATCACATAATGTAACACTGTTTTTGCTTTGAACATATACTATTTGCAACATGTAAAAAAGGTAATGTACTATACTTTACAACAAACTTTGTAGTTCTCAGGGACTACATGTGTATATAGCTGTCAAAGAGGTTGAAGTTGCTAACTTCAAATCAGTTGTCTCTACTCTCTGGGTTCAAATTCTATAAGGGACTTTGGATTCTTTCTTTCTTTTTGGTAAGCTCAGAAAGGCAGTGGGTTCTGTTCAAGTGCCAGGTCATTCCTGAAATGGTGCATGAAAGCAAGGTTTTTTAGGTTTTCCTCCACCTGTTCAGTTGGAAGTGCAACCTCAGTGTGACTTAAAACAAACAAATTTGTAGTACTAACATGTTTGAAGTCAAAGAAGTTTGTTTCCACTTTTATGAATTATATAAAACTTAAGAAAATCATGAAACTTATAAAGTTGTGATTGTAGTGGCTTATTATTTCAAAGAATACTTCAAAAACAAATGGAAGTCATTAGAACAAAAATATATTTTTATTTTATTTAAACAGGTTGGACTGGAGAACGTATTTGTTTTGCTGGAGATAGTGCAGGTGGTAATATTGTGATATCTACGGCACTGCGGGCAGTGTCATACCAGATACGTATACCAGATGGTATAGTTGCAGCATACTCGGCAACCTTGGTGCAATACACACCATCACCAGCCCGTCTGTTATCTATGATTGATCCCCTTCTACCAGTAGGAATTCTTACCCGGTGTCTTGCAGGTAACATTTCCTATGACGTTTAAATTTAAAATACTTCTACTTTGGTCCATGGGCCTAAAACATAAACTAAATGAATAACCGGGACACATAGGGAACAAACTGTCCCATCATCAGGCGACACATGTGATAACTCTTGTCCTTCTTTACCAGGTACAGTTTATTTGCTGCTTCCTTTCAAGAAAATTCTTATTATTAAAATTTTGCAGCTTTTCCTTAAAATGTAATTAACTTTGACTTCCCCTTTTGCACAAATACTGTATTATTTTTTCCCAAATTTAAGAGAAGGGCAACTTCCCCTATTTGAAAACAGTCCTGGATAACAATGTAACATAGACAGTGTTGAAACTTCTTAATCTTTGAATTCACATCTATTTTTATATTTTGCAGCTTATGCTGGCATAGCTGACAAGTTTTCTAGTGCCTTAGCAGCTCCTATTTTCTGTAATCCTGGCAAGTATGAAAACTGGGAGGTTGTGGATTCCTCTTCTTGTACAGATGATACTTTAGATGTGATAGCCAATCAAAAAACAGATTGCAACCAGGCTGAAAATAAATCGACAGATCAGGAATCAAATGACATAAAATCTAATGAGTCTACGGCCAATGGCAATCCTTGTCTTATGTGTTCTAAATGTGTTCATGATGATGATAGCTCAAGCTGTAAGTGTTCTGAAAAAGAACAAGCCTCTCAATCAAGTGACTGCTTAGATTTAAATTCTTCAGTAGCTAGTCTAGATAAAAAAGAGAATATACCAGTCTGTAAAAGTCTGGACAATTTGTCCGAGTGTGAATTTGTAGTCTGTGATATGGATAAACTTGAATCCGATTCTGAAAACTACAAAGGTGATTTAATTCAGATACCAGAGTTAAAAGGTTGTGATACTAAATCTGAAGTAGACACAAACATGACAGAGACTGTTGCCAAATGTTTTGATGAATCTGAGGTTTCAATGATGGGAGAAGATTCTGTCAAAGCCAAATGTGATACTGAATGTGTTGCCAAAACTGACAAACCAAACACTGATAATAATGTAAAACAAATTGAAGAAGTGAATGGTGTAGATGAGAATACAGGTTATTTAAAACAGGGTAATACACTTAGATCTGATGATGTAAATGAGCATGAATTAATAAAAAGCAATCCAGCTATAGAAACTGCAAGTAAGAAAGAATCTGAGATGACAAGTGAAAATCCAGAAATTAACATTATAGAAAGGACAGTCAAAGACCTATTGGATGAAATAGATTCCAATGTAGTAATAGATGTGCAAGATAGTGAGACCGAACATAAAACTGATGATGATGATGTTAAAGATCCTTCAGAAATGTATGCTGTATGCCAAGAGATACTTAACGAAACAGAGGATATTGATCCTAGCAACTATGGTGATATGAAAAGCAATTTATGCCATTCTTTAGAAGATCTTGTAAATGGTTCTGATTCAGTATGTGATGATATATCTGAAGGCAATATAGTCAGTGATGGAAATGTTTCAAACTTGGACAGTGATACCAAATGGCAGAAACAAATCTCATGTGATAGTGGAATACAAGGTGATACAGATAATGAGTGTAGCCATGACAACAAGAGTACAAGTTCTACCTCAACAAAGGAATATCAACACAACTATACTAGAGGCCATATGAGTTTAGATCTTGCAACACCTTTTCATCCTGGGCAGATTTCAGCCAAGTCTTCACCTCTCAAGACATCAGGTTCACCAGTTTCTCCACAGTTGTCACCAGGGAAAAGGTCGCTCGCTCCAAAGTTGTATTCGGTTCAAAGGAAAATTACTCAGAGCCCCATACAGCTGTTCCGTCATTTGCCTATTGTGAAAAATATGTATATGTCTCCACTGTTGGCACCTGATGAAGCTCTGAGGAAATTGCCACCGGTACATCTTACTGTAAGTTTTTACCTTATAGAATTTTATATATATTCCCTATATAATTCCAGCTATAGAAGCCAGAGTATCAATTTTAAGATATGTTAGCTGTGTAGAGACAGTCCAGTCACATCTATTTTGTCAGACTAGGGTCTTTACTAAATGCTGATATATTGATATGTTATTTTATTGCATTATACAACAGAACAAAAGTTTAAGTCAGAGAAATGAAGTGCATTTGAACAAGATTATCGTTTAGCTTCTGGGATTAAAAAGAAAGTTTCCGGGTTTAACAATCAAGTGATAAACCGTATTACAAGCTTAATACTTTTTGATGATGCTAGTTGTTTTCAATTCTGTTTTTCATGTATACAAACAAACATTGCATGATATTTTTTGAAAATATTTCCTTTTTTTTCATAATTAATGTAATAAAATTATTGAACAGATGCTTTTGATTTTACAGGCATGTCATTTTGATCCACTTCTAGATGACTCAATCATGTTCGCCAAGAAGCTTGATAGACTAGGACGATCTGTGTCATTGAAAGTGTTTGATAACCTGCCACATGGTTTCCTCAGTTTTTCTGATGCCAGTGTAGAGGCTAGACAAGCTTCTAATTTCTGCTGTGATAAAATACAAGAGGTGCTAGAAACCACCATAAAGTTCTAGATTTTTATATTACATTTTTGTGATATGTTGGGCTTAAAGATGCCAGTTGGGTGTAAAATGTCATTTTCCAATATTTTTACATGTTTTTGTTTTTTTTTAGACTTAGAACACAGTAAAAAATAATATGTTTTTTTAATTTTCAACATAAATCATGTAGTGAAATTTCTGATGAATACTATTGGATTCCTTACTTTATTCCATATTTTGTGGGACTTAATACTATAATAACTTAAATAAGTCTTTTACAACTTGTACAACCTTCATAAGATCTTATAGTTTATTAGGAGTTGTTGGCCATGAACTAAATATGTCTGCATTAAAGCTGTGCATATTTAATATCAAGTAGATATATAAAGGCTTGTAGTACTATATTTCTTAATTTGCGTGTACTGATAGAAAATTATTTGTTAAGAGCTACAACTAGAAAAGAATTAAAAGATTTCAATGAATTTGTTCCCACTGCTGTGGTTTTGAGTTTTGTCAGCCTGGGGCTTTGAATTCTAGATGAATGAATATCATTATGATTTTTCAACTTGTTTGATTCTACTTCCTGGCCCAAACTTGGGCAAATCACTTTTATCTGTAAGTGATTACAATACATTACAATCCAATGTTTTTCATTGACTTTTTGCTTTAACATTGGATAACTCTTTAGCATTTATCCTGTTATTCATCACATACATGTACATTACTTGAGTAATCACTTAAAGGTCATAGCAGTCTGAAATAATTCATCAAGGGTCACATATACTTTAGGTCTTCCTCCCCCCATTAAAGTCTTTCATATGAATATATAAGTACATGTATATTGGTGTAGCTTAAAGCACAACACAAACATTGAAAACAAAAGTATAATATAATTTATCATAAATAAATTTGGTTTATGGTATTTTTATGAATATCCAAAGTATTTCTGAGTTATTACCAATAAAGTAATATAAGATACAGAAACATATTATATATTTCTCAAATAGAATTTCTTTTTTAATAAAGCCTTTATGTTAGATCTACGGCAGTTGTGAACATATAACATTTCTACAGGTTTTTTTAAGTAATTATTTTTTTTTGCGGAGAAATAAGTTGATTTGATATCTTTTACCTTTTTTTTTCTTTTTTTTTTTTTTAATGAAAACGCTTTTTACACCTGTGACTTGTTTGTTTTATTTACGAAAAAAATATAAATAGAAATTAAACAAATATATAAGTAGATTTGAAATTAGCCATTTATAAAGTGGTTAGCTTTTGCCACCAGTACATGTGCACTCTAAACAGGCTTTGTATGATTAGTGGCTAAATTATCACTTGATACTGAAATTCCTTAAATTATAAATGGAATGTTCCAAATTCAAAGTCAGGCAAGTCCATTGAAGAATTTCAGGGGGTTATATAATAAATATATTTGGCATACACCCAACTGGTCCTTTTTTGCCTTTGCACAACATATTTGTTATAGCATTAAATTCTGGATTATATATTTGTTATTGAATTTTATTTGTTAAACATTATAGAGGATGGCATTTATTTATTATATCATATTTTTTTTGTAATCAGAGGGTGATTTAGTTATCTGAGGTTTATAGATGTTAATGGGCATTAAAGGGATCTGCCATATTTAAATTGTTCAAATAGTGATGACATAGTTGATACAAGGTATAGAAAATTGAGATATGAAAACTGCCAAATGAAAGCATAAGTGATTTTGGGGTTATTATATTATAAACAATGTAAGTTGATATTTTACCTTTCTTTTTAGATTAGTAATCCTTAGGTTTTTACAGGTTTTACCTTTTAATGGTTTGCAACTATATGTATAGTTCTACTGATAGTCAGCCAGGTCAGCTCACAATGTTCTGGCCAGTAAAACTAAACTATTTCTTGTTGTCTGATCAGTTTATTATTTTAATAATGAATTCAATAAATATAATAATTTCTGTAAACTGTTTAATGCCACAAAATTCAGCAAAGCTTTTTTTTATGTCTTAAATGTATGAAAGTTATTTTAGAATGTAATTTTTATTTCTTTTTGACATTAGTAACAAACAAAACAGGGTTAGATAAGATATACATAACAAAACATACATTTTTAGCTCGACTTTTCTATGAAAAGGGGAGCTATCCTACTCGCCCCGGCGTCGGCGTCACACCTTGGTTAAGATTTTCGTACCACCCCACTTTATTTCAGAAGTATTACAAGTATGGCTTTGAAACTTACCATACTTGTTCACCATCATAACCTCCATCTACAGACAAGAGTACATAACTCTGTCAAGGTTTTTGACAGAATTATGGCCCTTTTTTGACTTAGAAAGTGTATTGAGCTTGGTTAAGTTTTTTGTACCACCTCACTTTATTTCAAAACCATTGGAGGTATTGCTTTGAAACTGACCATACTTGTTTACCATCACGACCTTCATCAACAGACAAGAGGACATAACTCTGTCAAGGTTTTTGACAGAATTATGCCCCTTTTTGACTTAGAAAATACATTGAATATGGGTAAAATCCACTTATTGCCTTAACCCTTTGAGATATTGCTTTGAAACTTTTAATGCTATTTCACATCATTACCCCCATCTGTACGCAAGAGAAGGTAACTCTGTCAAGGATTTGTTTTAAAAATTAAGGCCTTTTATCGACTTAGAATCTTGGTTAAGTTTTTAGTACCAGTCCACTTTTTGACTGAACTGTTTGAGATATTAATTTGAAAGTTGGAATACTTGTTTACAATCATGATTCCCAAACATGTCCAGGAGAAGGTAATTCTGTCAAAGATTTTATTTGAATTATGGCCCTTAACTGTCAATGTTTTGTATTATAGGCAAGCACTAAAAAACTTAAAAAATCTAAAAAAATTCATTCCTATCCACTTGTTCACTTTACCATAAATTATGTCATATAAACATTGCTGTAATATTCAAGGGTATCAAACAACTAGTTCACTTTAAAAATACAGAGATTCTTGTATTGCCTTTTACTGCAAAAACTTTTTTTATTGGCAAGCAATAAAAAAGTCGAGCGCGCTGTCTTACGGACAGCTCTTGTATGTTCTATGGCCTATTTAATTCAACTCATTTATTCAGCTCATTATGTATATGAAATTTCCTCTTTCCATGATGCTACGGTTACTAACTCTGCTTGTAATGACTTTATAATGTTTTTCAAAAATAATACAAATGATTGGAATCATATTAAATAGTTTTTAACTTGTATACATTATTGTATTGATTAGGAAGGGACATCATTGTGGCTGTCCAGGTCTGAGTGGTAAACTTCACTACCATCAAATTACATTTTGTTTATGGCTGTGAGCTTTCTAGGTTTTTATGCCGTTCAGGTGCTCCTTGGTGACTAGGTGCTGTTTATGGCTACATATGTGGCTGTATCTTATTAAATGGCATCTGTGGCCAAGTGGTTAAGGTCATTGACTTCAAAACTCTTCCTCCTTACCACTGTAGGTTCAAATCCTGCCAGCGACTTTCATGTGATCAACATTGGTGGTTCTACTCAGGTGCCTGATAGTGTCTGAAATAATACAAGGTGGGGCACCTGAGGTCTTCCTCCAACAGTAAAGTTGGATTGCTGCCATATTACTTTTACTTATTATGATTCCCAAAAGGGATTTTATTTTTCCAGCTTGTTGACAGAAGGTCAGTGTTATTATTCAGACTTAGCTTGTGCTACAACTAATTCTTTGGGTGATCATCTGGCCCAGTGTTCACTAAGATAAGATCAGGATCAAGTGATCCTGATTTTTTTTTCATTGTTTTATGTTACTAAAATTAATTGTGTTTTGCTAGAATTACATAATAAATATTCAAAATGTAAAAGATTTCTGATTTACAAAGAAACCAAACTATTTTAGGATAAAATGAACAAATAACAAATCAAATACAAACATATTTGGATCAAAATAAGGATCAATTTGAGGATCAGGATCAATATTTTGATCAACTGTAAAATGCCTGTATCTTGCAAAAATAACAATAAATTTATTCTAAAATTTCATAAACTTGCTATTGCAAGTACAGTCTTATCAAATTAATATTAGATATTAATCTATGAGGATAAACAATGAAGAATATTAGAGTTTTGAAATTTGATCCTCATCTTGATCCTGATCCTTAAATCTTAGGGGTCTTCCAGGGCTGGTAAACCTGAAAAGACGCCATGTTACCTTAACTGTATTGATTTTAATAAAAACATAACAGAAAATGACAGCATGAAAAAGACACTCTTTACCTATAAAGAGTTTTCACAGTAAAAATGTATTCTAGCTGTCTAAATTGGCATTATCTGTTTTCCTGAATATGTGATTGTTATTTGAAATGAAGTATAACAATGCTAATGTACATGTGTGAACTTCGATGTTGTATTCCCCCCTCATTGTAGGGATGAGTAGCCCAATTTTATTCAGCTCATTAGATCAAATTTTCTCATTCCTTAATTCTACGGTTATTAACTCTGCTTATTGGCACAATTACTTTCTTAATAATAACCTGCATTTTCCCTGCAGTTATCATACTACAGTACTGTCTTGATAAAACTTAATGTCCTTGTCCATTTTATCAATAAGATGGGCTTGAATTTATAACAGTTACAGTAAAAATTTGATACAGTAAAAAAAGAAGAAATAACAAGACTGTTAAAAAGAATTTATTTTGAAATATTTTTTATTAAAGGCTAGTACCTATTATTATATATTTATAATTTAAAAAATGTATTATAAAGAGCTTGTACTTGTTATATATTACGAATATATAAAAGGGAAATGGAATTAGACTCATTATATTTGTTAACTGTCACACTTTTTCTTTTATAAGCTGTTTTTGATCTTATTACTTTTTCTGTGTTAGGTTAATTTTCATGTACCTCAATTATTGTGTTTTTCCCCCTCTCTCTCATTGTGATATTTGATCAATATGTTGTTGTTATTTTTGTAACTAATGTTTTAGTTGTTGTTGCTGTTTGACTTAAATTTTTATGTTTATGGAGGAAAATGTTTAAAGGTAAATTAAGCTTCAGAAATGAATATCTTTTTGTCCTTCTTCGGAAAGTGCAAATATGTTATATAGTTTTGTAATACAGTAAAAACTCGCTAATGAGACCAATGAAGGGACTTTACAAATCTGGTCTTAATAGCGGGTTGGTCTCATTAATGAGTTTGGTCAAACAGAAAACCAGGCAATATATTAAGGGATACCATGTACTGTACACATGTTTAATTCTGGGCTAACTTATTTCAAATGAGAAGATATTAAGCATACACTATTATTTTTTTATTTTCATTTATTTTATTTACTTTTTAACATTATTTCTTTACTTCTTTAGAGGTAAAAAATGTATTATGCATGTCTTTAAATACAAACATATTTTTTTACATTCTTGTTAAAAGAATGACATGACTTACTCAATTAAATCACCATTTTACTACAAAGCACATCGACCAATTAACTTTTAATTATTTTCACAGTTTTCATCGCCGATAACAACTTCAAAAACCTAATAGTATCAGGTTTATGTTTGTTTAAAATTATGGAACGAAAGAGATACTGATA